TATCACAAATTATTCGAAAACCAAGAACTTTTGTGAGTCTTAACAAGCTGTCGCCCTCTTTACCGTCTCAAGTTTCTACCATCATGACAGGGAAGAGATTTGGAAAGGACGTCGTCTCGGAAACAGACGATACGATCAAGAACTACAATGACGTATTCGATAGGCTTATGCAAAACTTCTGGGACCAGGTTACTCGCGACGTAGCCATAGGTGTCCACAACATAAGCACACCCGTCAACAACATAGCCATACACGTCCATCATATGGGTAAGGGTTCGGATGTCCTTATGACTTCACATATATTCATGCCTTCTCAGAAGAAACATTAGACCTCAGCGGTATGACTTACGCAGATCGCGTGGGACTAGATACCAGGAAACAATGCCTTGAAGGGACGCGTGCGGAAATCCTTTCCCAGATCACGGAATGGGTCAACAGCACTGGGGATGACGTTCCACGTGTGCTGTGGCTATCTGGCCCTGCAGGCAAGGGCAAATCGGCCATCGCCCACACCATTGCTAAGTGGTCCAAAGACGTGGGAGGGCTTGGTTCGTGTTACTGTTTCGACCGAGAAGTAGCTGGTCGCCATGAAAAGATCTTTTCCACGATTGCGCGCGACCTGGCTGACCGTGATCTGGAGATCAGACGGGCATTAGCAGATACAGTCAAGACCGCGAATTCGCTCAAGAATACAGCGGATATAATCCAGCAATGGCAGAACCTTCTTGTTGAACCACTGGGGAAGTCAGCTGGGTCAATTGTGGGACCCATCGTGATCGTGATCGATGCATTGGACGAGAGTGGCGGAGTAAAGACACGAATGGACCTCCTTCATATTCTAGCTGGCAAACATCCAAACCCCGACGTCCCAAAAATCACAGACCTTCCTGGCAACTTCCGCTTCATCGTTACCTCTCGCCCGCTTGATGACATCGAAGACAAGTTTCGTGGTGTTCAGCATATTCGAAAGATGTCGATGGATGATATTCCACCAGAACTTGCGAAGCGCGACATCCGTGCTTACGTATCCAAGGAGTTGGAAGGGCTGGATTTCCAGGACAGTGAGTTCAGCAGTCCTCGCTGAGAAAGCTGATGGACTTTTCGAGTGGGCGCGTCTGGCCTGCGGATACATCAAAGAGTCCGATATGGTATCTCCAAAGGATTACTACGAGGCTGTGGTGTCACGCAATCCTGCTGAGAGAAGCAAGCTGTTGCACAACATGTATGACTTCATCTTAACAAATATCATACCCAGGGATACATCTCCGGATCCGCCGAAACTGCGTTTGAAGAAGCTAGCGAGATTTCGCTCAGTGATGGGACAAATACTGGGCACAGCTGAATCCCTTCCTTTAGCTTCTCTGACAGCCATGAGGTCCCATTTTCCAAGGAAAGAGGACCATTTCGACGTGAAGCTTGTGGTGAAAAGCATGGGCTCCCTCCTCAGCGGCACCACCAACCTAGATTCCCCAATCCGACCCCTACACGCGTCCTTCCATGATTTCTTGACTGACAAAGAATCCAGTAAAGAATTTTTCATCGACCTGCCAAGGGCGCAACAAGACATTGCATTCGCGTCGCTTCGAGTGATGGAACATGATCTTCGCTTCAATATTTGTGCTCTAAAGTCGTCGTATCTACCTAATAGCGAAGATCCCGGTCTACAAGAACGAATTCAAAAATTCATCTCCCCACATCTGTCATATTCATCTCGATTTTGGATGTCGCACGTACGATCCACAGCCTTCGACAAGGAACTCGCGAAAGAAGTGAAACTGTTATTCGACCACGAGCGGGTGTTATTCTGGCTGGAGTCACTCGCCCTGACTAATGCGCTCGGCGGTGCAGTTGGTGCCCTTCCTCCCATTGCTCAGTGGTTGAAAGTGAGTACATTGCTACTAGGCATCAGAATAAAGCGCTCATGCGCAACCACAGGGCCATCCCAAATTCAAAGATGTCTCGTCGATTGCAATGGACGTACAGAGGTTCATTCAAGTCTTCGGCGGCATGATTTTACACAGCACACCACATCTGTATATATCGGCACTCTCATTCTCGCCTGCCAACTCTCCGCTATCAAGAAAGTTTTCTGCACGGTTTCCGAATACTCTTCGTGTGGCATTTGGTCGTGATATAAAATGGGCAGCTGTTCAGACCGTGCTCAGGGGCCACACTGATGCAGTTACCTCGGTCTCGTTCTCGCCGGACGGCACTCGCATCGTCACTGGTTCTTTTGATAAAACTATTCGGTTGTGGGATGCAGGGACGGGGGAGCCAGTCGGTAAGCCCTTGCGGGGGCACACTGAATCAATTTCGTCGGTCTCGTTCTCGCTGGACGGCTCTCGCATTGTCACTGGTTCAAAGGATAACACTGTTCGGCTGTGGGATGCAGGGACGGGGGAGCCAGTCGGTGAGCCCTTGCGGGGGCACACTGATTCAGTTTGGTCGGTCTCGTTCTCGCCGGACAGCACCCGTATCGTCACTGGTTCTTTTGATAAGACTGTTCGGTTGTGGGATGCAAGGACAGGGGAGCCAGTCGGGGAGCCCTTGCGGGGGCACACTGATGCAGTTACCTCGGTCTCGTTCTCGCCGGACGGCACTCGCATCGTCACTGGTTCGCACGATGACACTATTTGGCTGTGGGATGCAGGGACGGGGGAGCCAGTCGGTAAGCCCTTGCGGGGGCACACTGATTCAGTTTGGTCGGTCTCGTTCTCGCCGGACGGCACTCGCATTGTCACTGGTTCGGAGGATAACACTGTTCGGCTATGGGATGCAGTGACAGGGGAGCCAGTCGGTAAGCCCTTGCGGGGGCACACTCAATCAGTTAACTCGGTCTCGTTCTCGCCGGACGGCACTCGGATCGTCACTGGTTCTTCGGATAACACTGTTCGGCTGTGGGATGCAGGGACGGGGGACCCAATCGGTGAGCCCTTGCGGGGGCACGCTTATTCAGTTTGGTCGGTCTCGTTCTCGCCGGACGGCACTCGCATCGTCACTGGTTCGGACGATGACACTGTTCGGCTGTGGGATGCAGGAATGGGGGAGCCAGTCGGTAAGCCCTTTCTGGGGCACACTGATTCAGTTTCGTCAGTCTCGTTCTCGCCGGACGGCACTCGCATCGTCACTGGTTCTTTGGATCACACTGCTCGGCTGTGGGATGCAAGGACGGGGGAACCAGTCGGGGAGCCCTTGCGGGGCCACACTTCTTCAGTCACCTCGGTCTCGTTCTCGCCGGACGGCACTCACATCGTCACTGGTTCTTTTGATAAGACTGTTCGGTTGTGGGATGCAGGGACGGGGGAGCCAGTCGGTAAGCCCTTGCGGGGGCACACTCAATCAGTTGACTCGGTCTCATTCTCGCCGGATGGCACTCGCATCGTCACTGGTTCTTCGGATAACACTGTTCGGCTGTGGGATGCAGTGACAGGGGAGCCAGTCGGTAAGCCCTTTCGAGGGCACACTAAACCAGTTTCGTCGGTCTCGTTCTCGCCGGACGGCACTCGCATCGTCACTGGTTCTTTTGATAAGACTGTTCGGTTGTGGGATGCAGGAATGGGGGACCCAATCGGTGAGCCCTTGCGGGGGCACACTCAATCAGTTAACTCGGTCTCGTTCTCGCCAGATGGCACTCGCATTGTCACTGGTTCAAAGGATAACACTGTTCGGCTGTGGGATGCAGGGACGGGGGACCCAATCGGTGAGCCCTTGCGGGGGCACACTCAATCAGTTGACTCGGTCTCATTCTCGCCAGACGGTACTCGCATTGTCACTGGTTCAAAGGATAACACTGTTCGATTGTGGGATGCAGGGACGGGGGAGCCAGTCGGTGAGCCCTTGCAGGGGCACACGTCTTTTGTTAACTCGGTCTCATTCTCACCGGATGGCACCCGCATCGTCACTGGTTCAAGGGATAACACCGTTCGGCTGTGGCATGCAGTGATGAGGCAGCCATCGCAACGGTGCGCTGAGGTAGATCATCCAGTACTCTCAGATGAACATCGCACGATCGAGGCCACCACTACCATGACATTGAACACTCTGAACAATCACTTAATTCGCTTCTCGTCCAACTCTATGGACCATGCACTTTGCGACACTTCTGAGTTAATGGAGGGGGCATCCCATGATGACCGCAGTTCGACCCCCTTTGTCCTGGATGGTAGTGGATGGGTGATAGGACCCAAACGTCGGCTGTTATTTTGGGTACCACCCGCTTCTCGTTATTCATTTGGGAACCCCTGGACTGCATTAGTGATACCCAGAGGTCCTGACCTTGATTTGAGCCGTATGGCACATGGACAACACTGGGGAAAGTGCCGGGAGGAGTGAGTCTCTTGGAAGCCCTTTCTGTTCCTCGCGCTTACTAAAATCAACGCTTGCAGACCTTAGTACCTTAGTACCAACGATGATCGCAGCAATGTATCACTTATAAAGATTTCGGATACAATTTACATGTGACCGAGTGTACAGTAGATCGTACTTCGTATTCTATTCTACACCCAGCATATAACCTGAGTTTAGGGTTGTCCATGTGAACGACTTGAGCTGACCGTGTAGCAGTATTCATGATGTTCGTGCTAGTTCGTGAGAGCACGTAACGACGGACAAGGCATAGTATCCACATCCAGATGATTTAAATTGCCCTGCAGAGTGGATTGAACTACCAATTGTACATTCTAAAATTCACCCTTGCTCTCTGCTGCAGCACATGGCCTAATTTGGGGATTCCAAACACAACCACACTGATGCTCTTAAGGTTGTTGGTGTTGGAGGTGACACCTAATGTGTGTGTTCAGTCGCCTAGTACTCAGTGTCAATAGATTTGGATGAGTGAAGTTCAGCGTCATAAAATATTTGGGAATGAAACGCACTGTCACCGGATGACTCAGTGAATTCAAGTAACCAAAGATTCGACGACAATATCCATTAATTTAATTGTTTTTACTTCCCACAGTATATATGCAACATTAGATTCGAATGAGGCCTGGTGTGATTTATGTATGTAAATGTCACTCCCTACGGTACATCTAAGACTAGATTTTTACTGATTCAGCATAAGCAATCGCCATCCTCTCGAGTCTTAGGTCTTCCGGTCATTCGTGCAGTTATTCAACTACACAACCCTCGGGATGACAGATTATATCCTCGGAACGCTGGCACGTCTCACAAATTTCACCGCCTTCGTTGCAGATAGGCAAGAAAACTCGTTCGAGAACTTCACATGTTTCGGCACGTTGTCCACTGGTGATGCGACAATTCGATGGACCACTCATTATTTTGAATTGGACGTCTATTCTTAACACGCAGTCTATGCCTGGTCCCGATGCCCAAAATGCTTGTGCGAACAGGTCTTTTGGGTATGTACACTTCTATTTCACGGTTCTCTCTATAAAGTCTGAACATGGTCATATTCAGATCATCATCCACCTCTTCCCTTTCCTCTCGCCTGACTCGCCTAAGTTCAACTTCCTGCCGACTTTGCTCATACCCCTCATCCAACTCCTACCATGCTTGCTGCTCTGTCTGTCGTCCTTTTTGATGTGGTGTACTGAGGTGATTTTGAAGGTGGGGTATCGCGCACACGCCGCTTACCAAGAGCGTGTCGCCATGTTGGTGCCTCTGATCACCCCCGAAGCGCTGCTGAGCCGTCGGGGAAGACAAGGGACTATTGAGGCGTTAGTTGGTACCGGATCGAGCTCTGAGGGAGAGGGGACGCAGGATGTTTTGATTAGATGGACGGGACGAATATTCCTGTATTCCAGCAGCAATTTTGAGACTGAGCAATGCTGAGTGAGATTTTTGCAACACATTCATGTTACATTCGATTTCCATATCCTTCTGTCGCCCCTACCATCGCAATGTCTTGTTACTGGCTTTGAATCTTTTTAATGCAACAGTTTATAATGTTACTCTACAGAGTCTCAACATTGCATCATCGCACAAAATTGTTTTCAGCACTGATGTCTGCTGCCAGGAAGAGCTAGATGGTATCAACGAGGTCGAGAAATACATTGTGGTCAGGATAGTTGTTGATTCACTGCCCGCATGCTTACAGTCCAACTAAGTTATAACTGCACATATTTGATATTCGGAGGGAGTCACGGCCTGAGTGCTCAAGTACGTACAACGGAAAGTTAAGGAAAGTGTAACTTGTAACTGAGTCAATGGTATGTGAATGCACGAAATTCCTTGTGATCCCCAGCAGCCTTGGCATACCGGATGTAAGTACTACTGTCCACCAAAACCATAAATAACACAATACATAATGACCGTCAACTGTGACAGAACGAGGTGAATTTCGCGAACGAATGGATGACCAGCGCAGGAAGGTGAATGATGATATACAGTGATAATGACACGGTTGCGAGAGATGAGCTATAGTGATCTAATAGATACTCTAACGACAGACTCAGTCGTGGGCAGCAAAGGAGGGAGAAAATAAACATACCTGCGTGATACTGATTATGCGATGATGCAGTAGCAGTTGGCATTGCTGTAGTGCTCTTGGTCAACCGGTACTTGTGCTTGCGTCTCTTCAGAAGAGACGGGCGCAGAGGAGAAGGTAGCGAGCGTGAAGAACGAGTCCATGGCTTACTGCAGGAAGAGTGGAGGAATAACTCGAAGTTGAAGATATTTGGAGAGCTCAGGAAGCTCTGATATCGTTAAGTGGGTCTCGCAAGTATTGGTGGGGAATTCTCCCTTCAGCTCTCGTGTATTTATCCGTTTCCACCAGGCATGGTCACCGGCAATTTCGAAGGGGATACTGACAATTAGCGTGGCATGCAATGTTCCTCGCCGAATATGGATTCACCCGCGGATATGAAGCCGGCGGAAGGAACGCGCTATTGTCCATGAAACGCGATAGGCCAGTGCCGTGAGCAGAGAAAGTCATATCAACGCGCCTCGCTGGTTTGCAACTTTGCACCAGATTAATCCGGGGAACGAGACAAAAAGGACCACCCGATTACGTAAACTGCAGTTGTCAGCCAATTAAATTCGTTCATCATTTATGGCATTGGGGTACTTTGCATTCTTATTGTTTAGAGCTCCGGGTTCCCTTGGAATCGACGAGCAGTCGGCGAAGCTCGGTGGCAAACTGGTTGACAATTAGATGACTGGTACAAATCGGGGTTGGTCCTGAGAGGAATGAAGCTGTAAGGAACAGGCAATTAATGAAGCAACTGTGTCATGCGCTGATTCTTTTGTCTCTGGTTGTCAGGACTCTAGTAGAATGCCCGACGCTGTAATTGTTTCGTGGCTAAGTCGGCGGGTGCAAGGTGCAATCACCGGAAATGCATGAGATATCTATGGTTATTTGGTGACTCGAGCTCCCTCTTATGTCCTGGATTTGAAGTTAATGTAGGAAAAAAGGCTGTACGCAAGAAAGGCAGTCCTCACATGCATATATGTAGTCGGTGTCGTCATCCCGAAGAAATGTTGCCACGAGTCGGTGGTCTATACTTTCTGGACTCTGGAAACAATAGCGGGAATTAGCACGATAGGTGACATCACATACAATAAGATAGGAGCACAATGCACCATCTTTTGATCGCCAGTGGCCAATCGGCAAACTACATCAGTTATAACGGGCCATGTGACCAGTTTACCTGTACACGAGTTAAGAATCACCTCAGGACTAGTAAATTCGTCTTCAGTTGGTGACCCGACAAACATCGCACATGAAGGCGAGTAAAAGGCGAGTAAAACTCATCGCTAATAGGTCGCGACTTCTCTAAAGACTCTTTCCATTTCACAAAAATGCAGACGAGCTCGAGAGAGCGCGACACCGTCATGTCCTAGATCCGGGATCAGCGACCCCAAGCATGGGGCAGGAGAATGCATGCGAGAGGTAAAGGGTTCCACTATGATGCAAAAGCCGACACCAGATCACAAGTTGCATGCTAGTAGCGACACACGCCAGGATAAGCAATAGAAGTAATGAGAGATCCAGAAAGCACACCAATCTCGTTCGTTTTCTATCTTCCACCTCCGAAACCTTGCTCGCAAAGTAATCCTCCAGCGCTGCGTTCAGGTCGTTTATTCCCATCAAGCGACACACACTGTAGTACCAGTGTTCCTTGGGATATGACTGAGTCGGGGAGCAAAAGTCGCCATCCTACTGTCACTCTCGATGTTATTCAACGTGACACTGCTAGCCTACCAACACTAGCCTTAATGTCATCTCCAGCTTCGCATGTGATGTGCCATCGTAATCCACATATTTGGTGTTGCTACAACAACACAGTCAGTTCAAGTCTTTATAGGGCAAGAGTCGCAATGTTTGTCGGATTGGTAAAACGGACACTCCAAATCCGCGATGCAGATGGAGCTGAGAAACGAAAAGAGGAGAACTTACTGGTCCATCCAGTCGGTCATTGCTCAGTGATGTCGGATGTTGGTTTCTTGACATAACCCTTAGATCTTCGGTGCATCAGGAAATAGTGGTCCCATAGGAATCGTACAACCACCAGTACATCACGACTGTGAATGAGTCGAAACAGATTTAAACCCCGTTAGATACAATTATGTATGAGCTTTTGCCCCCAGCGCAAAATTGCAGCCCTTGAAATGAGGCTGCGCGGTCATGCTTCCCTCTATGGGCCTACTGGACGCGCTGGAAGGCTGAGCTCAGAACTGCAGACCTGTAGGGGAGACCAGGCAAGTGTACACTTTAATTTGTCGTAAGGCGAATTGCCGGCCAGTGATAAGATCATCGTGGGCGCCAAGAGCGAGAATGTGCTAAAGTGCTTGTTCGATTTCTGCAAGGTTGGTTTTGCAGGTGGGGATGTGCCTGATGACAAAGGAATTCTCACTACTCCGTCGCATCGGAGTTATAATCATCCAAGCTGGCAGTTACATGGTCAGGACTCAGGACTATTGTTACTTTGTTTCAAGTGGTACTTGATGCAGTCCTGAGGGGAATGTAGTGCACAAGGACTTACGCTCGATAAAGTGGCTGTCTTATTATGCCATTGGTTTTGGCCTATCAATCGAAGAACTTTGACTGGTCACAGCTTGTCGCGGCGAATTCGATGAAACTGAACAAGGAGTTATTAACGGTTTGTCGCATGACTTCTCGGTCGATCTTGAAGTTATATGGACAAACGTCCGAGGCACACTGGTGTCACCCCCCGCTAGTTTATGATCTTATTGAATGTTGACCTTGGTTATAGGTCTATCCTGTGCATCTGTCTCATGTGTTGTTCTAATGGAGGGCCTGTCGATGACGCTCCATTTTAACGCAGAAGGGCCCGAACTCGGCTAGTACAATGTCGATGAGCATGGCCTGACCAAGTCAGGAGCGAGCGGTGATGCATGATTGTTGTCTTCTACTTCTGCTACAGCAGTCGCATCGCATAGCTGAAGCCTAATATCGATAGCATCTTGCTGTCTCAAGCGTTTCGTACCCAGAGGATCTCACCGTCATTGCTTGCATACTAACTAGTACGTTGTATGAGGATTAATCAAGGATGGTCGATGTTTGCCATTGGAGTCCGACTCCCTTGGAACAACCGTATACTTCCGCATCCCATCTTCATTGTTCATCGGTCATTTCTGATGTTCCGCAATATATTGCCTACTGTTCCTTGCCTTGTGCTGAAACCCATTCTTGCTGTGCTCATTCCTGCATGGATCCTGTCCAGTCCACAGTTCTACATTCCATATTGCCCTAGTTCTACACGTCAGCTTCTCATAGATTCCGTGATACCGACATTAAACCTTTCCCATCTATCTCAATCAAACCTTCCTAATTTACCTCAATCAGACATGTTCTTCCCCCTCTTACGCCTTACCTTGAGAAGTTGCCTCTGGAAAATATGGAAAATATGGAGGTATTGGCGATAGACCGGCTGTCATGGGTTGCAGAATATGATGTCAAAAAACGCGCAAGCATCGCACGTTGTTACTGATCTTTAAGCCAACTTTGGTATCCAGGAATGGGTTACATTCGGGGGTTTAGATTCCGATGCATCCTCGTATAATCAGGACGGGTGGAGAAAACTGGTCAAGGATCAACAGACCAAGGTACGTGCGAGAGTAACTCTGGTATCGTTCTCTCGCAAGCCAACGTGTTTGTTGCAGGATCTCATACAATCCTTACTGGATACCATTGAATGTTCTCCTGGAAGTCCACAGAAAGTTCGGCAAGGCATGGTGTGTTTTGAAATGACGCTCCTGCAACTCTCTGGTTGACCCTTACCATTTTATAGAATATCCTTTTCGAAGGGGAGCCAGGAACGGGCAAGAGAACATTTGCTCACGCGGTCTGCACTATGCTCAAGCACCCGATGTTTGATATTCGGGTCATCCCGTTCAATGTAAACGTGCAACCGTGGGATCGGTATGTACCATTCGTAAGCTATGATACATTTCTGACACGACGTGGTGGTAGTTTAGCTTGCGATCAAGTGGAATGCGGTAGTGATCATAGACCGCGGGGATATTGTCTCTCAAAGCGTCCATTACATCCCTTCTAAAGACACGTGGTACAGCATTTGATGAAGTCTAAATCTCCAAAGATTCGAGTGTGTTCTTGATTGTTGTACCATCAATGCTGTACTAGCATAGCTAATTCTTCGTCAGGAACGCATCAACACTATGATTCAAGAATTCGAGTCGCCCGGATGCATCTGTCTCTGGCCGTCGGTGCTGACAGACAAGCGGCACAGACTACTCAGGCCGTTTTTTTCTAGTGCGTACTTCAGCAATCTGACCCGACTGCATCGCCAACTTTCCCTATTGTTGCTATCAAATTCCACACTCTCGATCGAGCAGCCCGTTGCCAACGTTGGCTAGAACTCTTTGGCCGAGATGACCTGGCTACAACTTTCTCTAGCGGCGAGCACGCATCCGGCCTTACCGTGAGGGACACGAAGACGCGGACCTTCCTTGAGGAGATTGAGGAGATCTCTTGGTACAAACTCAATGGTAATGCCATGTCTGGCGCCGGATGACGTGACGCAGTGCTGATGGTGCTAGTAGGAGCGGATATCGAAGATTTCATGACTTGCGCACGACACTCGTCTGGGTAAGTTGGTTGATATACACTGTTCGGGACAACTAACCAGTACAGCACAGGGAACAAGATCCAACTCCTCAGCACGTAAAGGTGGCTCTCGAGGCGTGGGAGGCGCCCCTCCCTCTACGAAGGAAGGTAGCTCGGTTTTTAGTGCATTCATGGAATGCATCCACCCGACTGTGCGAGTGATGGTCCAAGTTCTCAAGAACACGGTGAAAATGTTGTGCCTGTTTAAAGTGTGTGCTTGTTGCTTTGTACTCCGTATGTGTCCTGTTGGTGGCCCATGAGATTCCAGTTGTAACATTTACTTATCATTGTGCATATGAAATACTCATGTCACGACAGAAACGGAGGACCCCTCCATCGTTAGCTTATTGCCCCTTGCATGCGGCAAGGGCACTACGTTCCGTTTCATACCACACCCTGCGTTTTCGGAATCAGTAAGTTCTATGGTATCACGAAACTGGCATGAACCACGACTTCGTGTGCCCCTAATGCTGTTGAAATAGTGTTCCTTGCGAAGTGAGCCCCACAGCGTGAGCACTAGGCAATGTCTCGAGACATAGTCAAAAGCAATGGTAGTTTTAATCGTACACGATATATAACTGACCAGCAAAAGTCGTCACTGCCAATTTCTTCGGTAAACCGTAAGTGTGTTAAACCGCTATCCTGCCATGGGTAATTTAATGTCATATCTATCTTTACACGCAGGGTGCCATCGCAGTCTACATATTTGGTTTTTCTACAACCACCAGTCAGTTTGACTCTTTATCACAAATTATGTTGGCTTGGAAAAACCCACTCGCCCATCAACCAGTCGGTCACCGGCCAGTCACTGCCGGTATAAGTACCTTCGTCATCGCCCTTCAAGTTGTATCTTTTGATCATCCTTGAGAGCAGATAATAGTCACATTAATCGTACACCATCAGTCCGTCACGGCTGTGAATGTCGAAACAAATTTAAACCTACCCAGCAGGTACAAGCATAGCAGTGTCCATGGAATACGTTAGATTTAGCCTTGAAGGTGACGCTACAAAGCCAGGTTTCCCTCTATGGGCCTCGATCCGGATTCTGCCTGCTGGACGCGCTGGAAGGCTGGGCTCAACAAGACTTAAACCAATGTACCACCTCCCATCGCGTTTCATAGAAATTCGAAACAACCATATACGTCCTGCATGTATTAGCGTCATCTTCAGCGCGAGGAAAAAATCGAGAGATATAAAGCACATACCTCCCGCAACAAATTCTACACCCACATCCTCTGTGATAAGCAGGCATCTCTGTAACTTCCTGATGCGGAAACGAGCAACAAACTTATTCGTGCCCACTCCGTCCCCTGAGTCCACCTGAACCTCGTCGGGCGAATAACCTAAAGAGCGCCTGAAAGGCTCATCCTTGGCTGGTTGGTGCACAAAATTAGTCGATGATCTTTCGAGTGGGAATTAACACCTACGATTAAGATTCCCCAAATTCAGTCGCAAAAATAATGCCTAGTCGTCAGTCACCATGCATGTGAGACGCAGGTCGGAGGAGCAGGCAGCCGGAAATTTTGGAATGAATCCAGATAACACCGAAAAGGCTTCAGGTCGCTCATTGACTATTGCCCAATAGAGCGCCGTGTGACCCTCGATATTGGGCGTCTGCAAGAGGTTGGAGAATTCAACAGCAAAGAGCAGCGCAAGCGTTGACGATTGGGATTACAGAGGAAGAGCTGAAATCGGGGGCAGAAACGATATCACGGATGCAAGCTAGAACAGTATTTCGCGTCTGCCAACTTTGTAGAAAGGGAAATCGTCTATGTTGGAGAGAATCTACTAATGCAGACGTGGAAGCCGTGGTGTATGAGGGAGGTGCGCTAGCGACGGACTTGCTATCACCACATGGTTGGGACATCATGTTAGAGAGGTAAATGGAAAGGGGAGGGTGAACTTCTGCCAGGTATATAAGGCAAGTATTAGGGGCTAAGCTGAAGAGAACAGTGCGCCAACACTGATCAGCCAAGCACGGGCAGTCGCATTTTTCACTGATGCACGGTCATTAACTTGTCGCTGGTTTGTACAGCGGGTTGACGGTTACTGTAATTGGAATGCGCTGTTCTTGCAACTCCATTGTCATCTGCAGCTATCACTGAGTTCAGAGCAGATCATTAGGCTATTTTAAATGACTCAAAGGACCGATTGCATCCCGAGAAATTCTGGCTCATCGTGAGAGAATCAAATGCAGCAGATTTGAGCTTTCCAAGGCCGAACAAGTTGAGCTTGAACATAGTAGTACTTAGGGAAAGACTTTAATTATTAGCGCCCATATGTATAAAGTTCATCATTGCAAATGCGTTATATAAGCAGACTTAGTTTTGACTTTGAATTCTTCTGTTCCGCTGGTCATGCAGCCTTCGCTCATTCTACGGTCTGGGCGGTCTGCTTGGAAAGGTTTGTCTTGTATCCACTGCGCGGTCGATCTCACATTCATGCGTGACCTTATCCAGGCCCATATTTTGTAGCCTTTCCAAATCTGAAGGATGCACTCATCAACAATGTTGCTATAAGAACGCAGGCTCGTGCGTGCACTATCCTCCCAAATTTTGTCGGGTGAGACTTTTGTTGATTCAAGCCTCGTCTGTTCTAGTTTATATAGTATTCTAATTGAGATTTGCCAGTATCCGCTTCATGGTGCACAATGGTAAAGACTATGTTCCTGTGATGATAACGCAGGATATGGTCGGTCATAAGCTCGGTGAATTCGCGCACACCAAAAAACGCTTTACTTACAAGTGAGTTTCAGACGTCTATCAGGTCTAGACAATTTTCATTTACTGACGTTATACAGGATGACAAAGAACAAGTAGCTGTGTCTATCTCCTGTTATCGGAACACCTTCTGCTCCCTGCAGAAGACTTACACGGATCATTTTCGAATGTCGATTATAAGCGATATAGATTTCGAACTGCCTCAAGGACAGAAAGGAGCCTTAGAGCAGGATTGTAGATGTCATTTATCCTGCCGATGTGAACGTTAGAACCAAAATTAAGGGCCATAGTAGTACCATTTGAAAGATCAGTGCTACCAGGTGTTACCGTGGTGATGTCCACCTTGGCGGACAGATCCGGACACTGGACAGTTGTTGTTGTCCAAGTTTCGCCATTTTTGGGGGTAGTTGAACTTGAAAGCCTCCGTTCAATCAGAAGAAGCTCTTGCCCAACGTCGTGCATCCCGCCATCATCACGAACGACTACGAAGTTCTCAATCTCGCCGTCCCGGCTAGCGAGAAACCCCCAATTCATTCCTTGTCTCGTTTCATCTCTTTGCACCCTCCATGGCCTTTAATCAAGTAACGGCAACAAATCTGACGCCTTCTCGACCTGCACCCCAAGCACCCGTCCGAAGAGGAACGGAGGGTCCGATATTTTCCCATAATGCTCTCCAAACCTCAGGCTACAACACATCCTTTTCTTCTGGATCGTCATACTCAACTGATTACACTGGGATAGGCGGATCGCCCAATCGCAACTCTCAGGCAGTGTTCAACACGCATGTCGTAAGAACTGGGATGGTTAGCTTGAAGGAAGAGGGGTTTGCAAGTTTCATCTTTCTCCGAAAATGGCTTGTATTGAAGGAACAAACGCTCTCCATACACAAGACCGAGGTGAGTCCACGGTAGATTGGTTGATTACCTCGTACTTCGAGGAACGAAGCACTGCCATAGCATCCTACCAGATGCATGCTATCTTCATTGGTCTTCTTCATATCCTCGCTTTCGTACTGGGTAGGCCATGCATACTGATAGATCATTACATAGACGTCACCACAGCAGAGCGTTATCCCTCTCAAGGATATCACGAATATTGAACGTGTCGATCTCAAGCCTTATTGCCTACTCCTTGAAACCAAGGACAAACGATATCATCTCGCCCTCAAAAACGACGAAGAACTTTATGGATGGCAAGATGATGTATACTCTCGCAGTCCATTGATGGGCTTTAGCAACCCGACCAACTTTGTGCACAAGGTCCACGTTGGATTTGACCCCATATCAGGTGCTTTCACTGTGCGTGCATACTAAATTCAAAGTGCCATAATCTTTGTCTCGCTCACGTCTATGTTCCAGGGCATGCCCGAACAATGGAGCAAGCTTCTTACAAAATCTGCAATTACTCGTGAAGATTACGCTAAAGACCCCCAAGCCGTCCTCGACGTCCTCGAATTTTATACTGATCACCAGAAGCGTGAGTTGGAAGAGATGGGCATGAACTCAATATCACGGTCCGTCTCTGGGACATCTGCAGCTTCCACCCTCGTCGGCTCTACTATGACAAGCAGCACTCTTTCGCCATACGGTGTAGATGCGCCTGCTCGGTTCGGCGGCACAGGTCTTGGTGGATCTAATCTCCCTAAGATCACATCTCCTCTCGACACAGCCCGCAAGCGACAGGACTCCGCTCCAGCAGAGACGGGGACAAACGGGCTCTCTACAACTGCCCTCGCCGCTGCGCGCGTTGCTGAGCTCGTCAATGGCTCACACGCCCAGCACGCCAACACCATTTCCACCGCTTCGCCCTCCGCACCTCCACGACCCCCAATCCCTCATATGTTACCAGCATCAACATCCTTGCAGCCTTCCCGACCTGCCCCTCCGCGACCGTTGTTGGCAGCCACACGACCTGCACCTGCTGCTCCCAAACCCCCTTTACCAGACCATACACCCTCAACCGCAGACCTTCGTGCGCGAGTGCAAGTGGCTGGGAAACCTTCTCTGGACCAGGGCCCGAAGCGAAAGGAGAGTATGGATGCTATCGGACAGCAAGAACGGGAGCGGAAGGACAGGGAGCTACGGGAAAGGGAACGTCAGCGGCGCGAAGAGCGTGAACGTGAGCGCCACGTGAAGGAGCAGGCTGCGGCTGCCGTCGAGCGGCCTCCCTTGACACCTTCTAAATCTGCCCCGGCTACTTCTGAAACTGTGACGGAGCCTGTGGCGGGCGCCGCTGGAGCTATTGTTGGTTCTTCACCTGTAAAGCCGCTGCAGACGAAGAAGAAGGAGCCACCGGCACCTGATGTTACTGTGACTGTACCTGATGGTGAAGACCCAGGTATTGCAGCTGCTGCAGAGGCACTGCAGAAGAAACCCAAGGAAAAGGAAAAAGATAAGGAGAAGCGGATCAGTGCGATGACCGAAGCGCAGATCATGGAGAAGCTCCGGAGTGTTGTGTCTGACGATGATCCGAAGACCTTGTACAGTAAGATTAAGAAAGTTGGACAGGGGTGAGGCTTTTATTGCATTAGCTGCTGGTGAATATTGATGAGTTATCCGCAGCGCTTCTGGACATGTATATGTCGCGAAAACGCTTGCCACAAGCAAGAAGGTTGCTATCAAAGAAATGGACCTCTCACACCAGCCACGCAAGGAACTGATCGTGAACGAGATCCTCGTCATGAAGGAATCCCAGCACCCCAACATAGTCAACTTCCTCGAGTCGTACCTCGTAAAGAACAATGAGCTCTGGGTCGTCATGGAATATATGGAGGGCGGTGCCCTCACGGATATCATAGAGAACAATACACTGGAAGAAGATCAGATTTCGAGCATAAGTTTGGAAGTGCGTACCTTTTTCATTTGTCATGATTTGCGGGTGATACTCACGCACCGCTAGACATGCAAGGGTCTGTGTCATTTACACAGCCAATCCATCATTCACCGTGATATCAAATCCGATAATGTCCTCCTCGATGCGCAGGGTCGCGTTAAAATTAGTACGCATCTTCTTTTTTTGCAATCCTGCACTGGTCTCTGATGCGTTGCACAGCCGACTTCGGTTTCTGCGCTAAACTCACTGATCAGAAGTCCAAGCGTGCGACAATGGTCGGCACTCCATACTGGATGGCGCCGGAGGTCGTGAAGCAGAAGGAATACGGTGCCAAAGTCGACATCTGGTCACTCGGCATCATGGCAATCGAGATGATCGAGAACGAGCCTCCTTATCTTGACGAGGAGCCATTAAAGGCACTGTACCTAATTGCGACGAACGGGACGCCGACGCTCAAGAAGCCCGAAGCGCTTAGCAAGGAGCTGAAGAGCTTCCTGAGCGTATGCCTATGTGTTGATGTCAAAAGTCGTGCCAATTCGAGCGAGCTCCTACAGGTACGTAAGGTTGTCCCTCCTACGTCCCATTCCTAATTTTTCTGTGCAGCACGAGTTCTTGAAGAAGGCTTGTGCGCCATCCGGTCTTGCCCTCTCCTGAGATTCAGGACCAAACCATCGTCATGATGTTTCGTGCTACCAGTCTCGTCAACATTTTTGGACTTACTCAGCTCCATTCGTCGGTTTGTCTCCGCACCACCTTCTTTTTTGTTTGTTCCACGTCCACGATCTATGTATAATCCGATGCTACACTCGTCTCGGTATTCGCTGTTTATAATGTTTTGATACGTACGAAATTGCAATGGAAGCCTGTTGTAAAATCTGTTAACTCACTGGCTACTGGCGTTGTGCGTCTTGTGGTACTTTCGCCATGCAGACATTCACCGTCTGTTGATGCTACAACCAGAGGTATTTTCACTTGTATGTCTAAGGGTCTACGTTGGAATCGGTTGGAGGACGTTGATTCTGAAGAAACCTGGGGTATGTAGTGTTTGTCCCTCCCGACCGTGCAATCATCACTGACGTTTCTTCATAGCATGAGTTTTTGACGAAGGCTGGTGCACCATTGACTCTCACTCCTCTCCTGTGAGATGCAAGACCGTGAGGTAACTGAGGTTTTGGATTTCCCCAGCTTCATAAGTCGGTTGTATCTACCACACCCACTCAGATTCCTGTGGCCACATGCTGCCCTCACTCATGTTTTATTGAGTACCAACTGCAATGGTACGATTGACATTACCAAAACGTCCACGTCTGGTCGTCGTCTTGCCACAAAACAGCGTATGTACCCCGATCGATGTCGAGAGGTGAACATGAAAAATGTTTTACAATTTTATTTAATCCTGTTTATTGTCTGCTGGGGGCAACGCCCGATGTAGACGTACATGCTATATGTATTACAATATATACGGAGGTGTCAAAAACTGGACTATAGTAAATCAATGTCCCGTGAGGTCGCTTGCCACACAAGCAAGCTTCTCCAAGCAAGTCTCTACAATATCTATCATATCCATTCTCGCCTTGGCTTCAGGCTCGATCACAAGCAACCCTTTCACCTGGCTCTCACTCGGTTCGCCAGTTTCAACATTTCCATCCTTGAATAGGTCCTTATGTGTCACAATGTATTCAGGATAGCAGACAACATCCCAATAACCTTCTGGATCAGTCCAAGGTACTATATGAGAACATGCCAGTGGTAAGTACCATAAGTAAGACACGCTCGACTGATTTACGGAGGCTTGCATACCTCCAGGTTCTGGCAAAAACTGAAACTGTATTTCACGCCGCTTCTTCAGTATGTGCTTTGGCACGCGCAAGAAAATGCAAACATCTAGCAGACGAATAACATCCTGAAAATGAATAGTCCCGAATTAATTCCGCGATGATGTATTTTATCGAGGGGCATTGCAGACCTGGTCCCAGTATAACATAAATCCGTCAACTAACACCCAGATTACTTTGGTGTTAGCAGCGACCAAACAGCGCTGCTCAAGATCTTGAAAACGTGCCTTCCAGGCATCTGCCCTATTCTCATCAATGGGTACATTTCTTCCATCATTCCAAGTATCGTAGCCTGTGTGGTTGAGTGGGATGCCACCGAAGCTCTTTACGTCCCGGAGAAACTTCCGCATCTGAGGCCAGTCTATAGCGCTCGGTGCGTCCCAGTTTTTGGTGTTGAGACCTTGGTGCGTAGAAAGCATCTCTTCCGGCTACGGGTCTCCGGGTAAGCGAGCTAAGCGGTACAGAAAGTCCTTCCTACCAGAAAGAAATCCTAGTATCCGTGAGGGGTCAACATATACACATTATACATCAAGATCGATACACACATCCTGATGAACGATGACACTATTCGGAAGAATGTCCTTCATGTGTTTAGTCAGTGTTGTCTTCCCTGAACATGTCGGGCCTCTTCAAAGTTCAGCGTCAATCAGTCAGTATTTGAAACAGTCAAACCGGAACTTACCCAATACCAACTAGGATAACTTTCGTCTTGATATCGGCCATCGAATCCATCGGATCTGACAGTTGGAAGTTGGGTTGCTGGTTGTTGGAAGTCATCTCAAAGAGATGGGAAATGAATACCTGGATGAGCAGCTATCGCGACGTTTTGGGAAGTCGTAATGAACAGCCGCAAGGAATCAGGGACCAGGGATACCCTATAACGGCACAATTGTACTAGTCGCATTCTGAGCACGCGCAAACTTGGATAGTCGAGCTGTTATGGGATATAACCTTGAATCCTGTGACAAGTATCACCAGGTTGACCCTGAGTCGTGAATGTAACGTCTTCATTCGTATTACGTTCAGTGACTGGGACGTCTCAGTAAGTACTCACTGCCAGGGTGGGAAGAAAGGAGTTAATATGTAGCACAGCAGTAGGCTATACCTCGTTCGTGTAGTACAGAAGCTTATCGACGACCATATTGCAGCTACCATGTGTCAAGACAGCGCTTTTGGGGATACCAATTTGATCAGCTAGAAGAGCAATAGGGTTGTGGAACGGGCAAAGGAATAAGCAAGGCTCCTGAATCAGAATATTTCAGACAGATGCAGCAACAAAGAATATATCTTGACTCAATTTGGGAAGAATGCAGAATGCGCCATCTACCGTGATTACATAAACCACACTGTACCACGGACCACGGTATGTGTTGATCGAATGTTATATCGATACCGCACTTTAGCATATCGTTAGATCAGGTTTAGCTTTGAACCGGTAAATTTCATCTTCCTATACATACCTGCATCTGAGCTACAACACTATGCAAACAGCTGAATGAGACATGGCATAAACTGGGATCATATGAATGCAGGACACATAGTTAATTGTAAAGGCATGTGGTAAGTAATGACGTGCGACCATGGAACAAGATGAAAACATGCGTAGGATAAGACAAAAATTGCTATATCATGGTGTAGAAAGGGTCAAATCTACTCGATGCAAGGATGCAATACAGAGCGTTTGCCTCTTCGAAGCGAGAGTGGCGTAGGGTGAAATGCGACATTTCAGTCGAGTCTGCATCGGAAGCGGCGTCCACGATCGAGAGCTTGAGCAATGAGGAGTAGAAACGACAGAGCTGAAAAAAAGGTAAGGCGATGTGCTTCGAAGATAATATGAAACCAACATTTTGAACCCCTTCGCAAATCGGTCGTCACTGACGAGCCCCTCGTGTTCGTCTCTCTCAGCATTGTCAAGCCATTTGATACTCTCATGAATAAAGCGTCCCAGGACTTCGGAACGTACGATGTCTGCTATCGTAGTTTTGCCACCAGTCGAGTAATCTGGAATAGCTGACGTATTACGAAGGAGACGGCCAAGGAGGTCAAATGATGGGAGCGTTGGGGGGAGTAATGTCAGGGCGTCCAAATATACAGAAATATCTTGTGCAAGGTTATTAGGAAGTGCCATCAGTAAAGTGGCGACAAGCTGGTAAGCTAGGTTAGGATTATACGAGACGATGGGCGGTAGGTCCACGGAAGTTATCATCGTGGGGGAGGTCAGGTGGGGTATTAAAGGCGTCAGGGTCTGCGCGATGGATCGTCAGAGCTGATATCAAACTGATTCATGATGCTTACCCGTTGTTCTGTGAGTGTAAGTGCTCGATCACGAGCTGCGAGTACAAGTTTCATTGCTTGGGCGATGCGTTCATTCTCTCGATCTATTTCTCGTGTAATCTTGGTCTCCGTGGCCGGCGGGAGTAATGGTAACGAATTCTTGGAAGCACCTTGCTCGGCAAATTGCTTCGGTTCACCTGCCGTGATCGTGGATCTGGCAACAGAGTGATCACTAACAAATTTGGATATAGAAAGATCGACAGGAGTCAAGTTGCTGCTTACGGGTCATTTTCCATGAAAGTCTCTTCATCCAAAAACAGACATGAAGCCCTCAACTCCGGAGGCAGGGGTGATTTTGTCAAGGTACTAGGAGAATAGGGACCAATCTGGGTGACTGTGAGAGAAATAAAAGGTAGGACAATATCGGATTTACATCATTACCATCCCCCTTTAGGATCTTCCAGAGAACCCAAACCAATTGCTCCCTCTCGCTGAACCCGCCCTCGGTTGAAATTTCTATGGCGAGTTCTCTCTCTTTAACGAATGTAGCGTACAAGACGGACTTGAAGGGATTGAGAGAAATCGGATAAGGAGCATACATGGAATAAAGAATGAATGAAACCAGGATGCGTTGTGCGAGCTGACACATCACAGCAGAATAGTTATAGAGGTCAGCAGCAAGAACCTTGATCACTGTTGACAGAACTCAACTGACATCAGCAGATGAAGTAAGGAGAGGCAATAGCATATCAAGAGCTAGCTGAAACCTCGCAGTAGGCTGCACGAGCTGCATGAATGCCTGAGAAGCTGCCGAACATGGAAGGGAATGAGCTCTAGCCAAGAGGTGAACAACAGACGCCCGAGTTGGATCCCCTGAACCTTTCTGAGTAGTAAAAGTTTGAGAGGATGTAGAAGATTTTGGGAAGAAACGCGAGCCGGCCATGGCGATGGCTGGGCTGGCCCTTGAGGTCGACGTGAGCGGCAACGACGAGCTCATCCAAGTCAATTTATTGTCCATGCTCATTAGATTCCGAAGTTGGATTTCCCGTTGCCGGTACAAGCACTCACGTGCGTGGCATTGTGGTAACTTTGGTTTCTGTGGCGTGTGCATAGCTTGCACTTTAAATTAGACTTTTTATTTGGCCGAACCAGACACCAAAATAAATGTCGTTCACATGGGCGCGTGCGGCAATGCTTATAGGAAAACGCTGCGCACATGAGTGTGAAGTCGACTAATAGCCTTTTCAAATGACTTTCATCCCCTTGAGTGCTTCCATGGCGCTCTTGGGTCGCTCAGAAGTTGTACCAGCCGATGATAATCAAGGTACTACTAACAAGGTCAGCTATCATCAACTTATTCTGACACCACGATCTGACCATCATGTGAATTTGTTTCAATAGCCCATTCCCAAAGTCTACTTTATCATTGCTGTCATTGCAGTACTCTTCTTGGTGGCAGCAAGGTGCGCCTGGGGATTTCACATGAGGCGCTTAGAAGATATTTACTAACCTTTATCAAGGATATGCGTCTTGCGAAGCAGAAACCGACCTTTCACAGACTTCTTCTCTCCCAGGCGGTCAAGTCCTCTCACAGAATTATTCTCTGCCAGGCCATCAAATCCTTACGACAACTCTCAGGCTCCCGAAGACCATACATTCAGCTCTTCATATCAACCCTCTCATCGGATATATCGTCCTACCCCTCCTCCATCAGTTCATCACCATGATCGCAGAGTCAATGCTGCGGATACTGATTCTGCCGGGCGCAGAATTGGAGGCCCTGATGATTCAGATTGGGATGGGAAAGATATACTTCCTGCCTACAATAAATATGATCGCCCTCCCAAGTACGACTTCGGTGGAGTGCCACCCACTCAAGGATATACAGCATCTGCTGAGAATTACCCACGCAACCACACAGTTGCGGCAAGCACTGAAGCCACTCCTGTTGTAGAAGATCAATCTGTGGCTTCTTTAAGGACTGGTCCTTCTGATGGAGATGATCCCACTCTGCCTGCGCCGCGCCATGAGGCATCTACATAGTTGATGCTATGATTTGTAATCGCTACATTAACGCACACTGTTTCAGATTCTGGACTTCAGCTGTTTACTTTACCACCGGATACCCTTTACGTCTTCTCTAACACAATTCTGCAGATTGTAATACATCACTGATTCCTTCTGTTCCGTATTCCTCAGACATTACACCTGAAGGAATGTCAATGAGATTTATCTTGAGCTAGTATACCCCATCCTTGTTTCGAATTAACAGCCACTGCTCCAATCTCCCTCATCGCTTACTCACAGAACCCTTTCAAACTCCACATTCTCATCTCTTCCCCTTCCCTCACCCATCCCAAGTAATCTGCGGTCAAAATGGCTGCTCGTACGAACAATGAGCCGTCAAGTTCCTCTGCCCCATCTAGTTCAGTTCCGGCAAAGTATCCTTTCGGCCGGGCCCCGTAGATGGTGGAGAAGTGTGCGAAAGCCCGTTGGATCTTGGTGTGATGGTCATTAGGATGCATTATGGATGATTGAATGAGAGGAAGGAAGGGGTTGGGTGCCTGCGCGTCCTGTGCTGGGATACCTTCCACTGGTGGGACAGCGGGGCTGTTGGGAGGGTTCGGCACCGTGGGTGTCGACTCAAAGAAGGACTTGAAATTCAGGGGAGGGCAACCGCATGCCACGAACCACGCAACAACGCCTGAGAGGTATGCGCGGAGAAGTAGAGCTTGCGTTCGAGGAGACAAGTATGCGATGAGTGAAGGGAGGAAGATACTTGAAGTGACCATATGCATCCTAGGATCTGTAAGTATCGAGCATTTCTGAATCGTAATCGATGCTCACAGGAAGAAATCGGCAGTGAAACCGTTTTTCCATCCTCCGAGAGCATATATTACCGAGGAGGTCCAAATACACTCTTCCATCTTGCGTTCGATCTCTCCTGGTTTGGAGAGATCAATCGTCCATTCCTGAACGTACTCGCGGATTCTGTCACCGTGAGCCACAAGTGTGTCAGGATATTGCTTATTGAAACGGAATGGACCTTTCGGCGCAAGGCTGGGGTCTTTGAGAACTCGAGCAAGAATTGAGAAAGCGTGGGTGTCTTGTCCGCTTGGTGCCTTGAGAGGCGTCGCAGGGGACTGGCTATCGAGTACCAACGACGCAAAACTGTTCATCATAGCGCCGGTGCCATCACTAGGCTGGGCGACAAACATTGATGGTGGAAGGAAACCCGGGGCATGAATATCATGCATCGCCGCCAACGAAAGCCCTAACCCAGTTCACGGGATGTAAGTGGTGTCTCTTCTCCTTTGCACCAATGTGTGACTTACCCTCAGCAAGCATGCCTTTTAAGCCAAACTCGACGCCATATCCACAATGAATCAATGAATGCATGACCCCATCTACGAATCGGTACAGCATTTCCGGCTGGCTTTCCGCAACTCTTCCAGGCCGGAAATTATACTTTTCGGAAAAGATGAATTCATCCAAAGTCGCGGAGGTGCCTTTCTCTTCGATGGCCTTGGCAAAGAAAGTGGTATAAGCTTCGTAGTAGCTGTCGATTCCGAATATTAGAAACATCAAGGTTAGGCCATGTGGGGCAAGCATTTGCTCACTTTTCATCACCGAGATGGTCAACAAAATTCTGCGCTGTGATGGGATGGGGCGATACAAAGGCAGCTCTCTGAGACTTGCTGTCCTGTTTGTATAATGCTTCAATCACGGTGCCGCTGCCTCCTAACGCGTATATCGCAAGTGCTCGATGAGTAATGTGGCTAGGCAGATATGTCATAAATCATCGTTTAGTGTAGTTTTTCCTATCACTTACTTGTGAAACTTGGTGTTGTTAAAGAAGATGTGATATCGGGTGTGGTTATCGATCAGTACGTGCCGCATCGCGATCGATGATTCGAGGCTGCATCCTGGCCACCTCTGTGGACAGAGTGCGGTTGGTGGAAGGGATGGGGCTGGGAAGAGTTTTTCTGCTTTCTCATCGTAAACCTTTGCGTTCATTGTGTTGCTGGGAGTTGACTGATCGACGATAAGGACGCAGTGTGAACAATCCTGCGGATTTATGTAAAGAATCTGAGGACCGTGAGTCCCGCGGCTGCATCTTACTCAGGGGCCAGGAACATTGAGGTATTATGGACATATCTATATCAAGTAAACGAGAGAAGCGACTGACACTTGCGTTTATAGCCTGCAGTTACGTGTTTTAAAGTTCCTAGAAAATGCAACATCCCGCATACCCCGGAGATTCCTTAGCAGTACGAGCTCCACCAGCACGTCGACCCACGCATGTGATTTATATCCACACCTATGCTAAAGATCGTCCTCGATATAAGAAGGTCGCAAATTGAAGGCGAGTGTGGATGAACACGATACTTAATTAGTTAGTGTTGAAAGCGATAGATTGTACGAAGAGACAGAGAACGAGGACATACCTAAGAGATCCTCTTTTACGGTGGGAGCAACATGCATAGTAGTGAAGCTAACCTGACATTCCAAGGCCTGGTAGCTCTTAATCTAGGACGGTAAGTATGTCGTATTATCGATTGAGAGCCTGGAAATACATGACCTCCTCAGGTGTTGCGTGATACACCCACTTTTGTTTGATTGTTGGAAGAAAAATAGATGATAGTGGGCAGGATTATGCTATTCAATCACTGCTGAGAGTATCACTTAAACATATGCAGAGTCCAATACCGAGCGAAACCCACATAGATGACTGATTTACTCCAGGAAAGTGGCTGACGTCCAGTGTTTCTCCCGAATCTGCTAGTGGGCCTACATGAGGACGAGTGCTGCCAGCCTGCATTACCCAGAGAGGTGCTCCAAAACGACAACTGGCTGCGAGAAATGTAGGAAATCTAAAAGATACGTAAGTCATGCTACTATTAGCCCACGTGCATGAACAAGTACTATCACTCCCTATAATATATTCACGGTTGCTAATATGCAAGATGTGAGGATTGTAGATCAACAACTTGTGAATACATACCAGACAACAATAATACGACGTAGAATTACATACCGATATGGATGAAAACAACCCTTTACTTGAGCAGCGCTTTCGTCTTCACGGCATGTGCAACACAGTTGAGTGCTCAGGCCGCCTTCGTGCAGTCCATGACACCGCCCTCCTTGTATATTTGTAGAAAGCTTCGACGACGTGTTTTGCGACAGTCTCGTCGACCTCCCACAGCGTGCCAACAACGCTCTTGAACCCTGAAAACTGGAGACCAGCTGCGAGGTGAATGACTTCGTTGGATGTCTCCTCGTCGCCAATGGGGGTATGACAAGTGGATAAGAACGGAAACTCCCCATGCAGAATGTCTTCCTCCATGATACCGAGCAGCGCCAAATATTCGTCTCTCATGACGAAATGTGAACTGTAAGGCTGCGCAGGGTCCTGCTTGCCATGATACGCCAGGTACACCCAGGTGTTCTCTTGCAAAGCTTCAAGTGCACCTGCTCGTGTGGCTGCATCGCCGGAAATAGTGGTACAATTGACCATTGCAAGGACAAGTTTATGGACAAGCTCGGGCTTGCTGCCCACAGCCAAGAGCGCCTTGCCTTTCCCTGCACCCAGTTTACCTTGTCCAATCACCATAAAGGAAGGAGGCACGTGCTTCTTCATCTACTGTCTAGATCTGATCAGAACCGAAAATGTCAGTGTGTAAGAACATATGTAGATATCCTCCAGGCATGGCTCATTCCCATAGCGATCTGCCTTTGTTTGAGAGGAGTGAGCTGCGTGGAGAGGAGTGAATGTGAAAGCTGCAGTTGGACACAGCCAGATTCAAGAGCACGCTTTAGTTTGAGGATGTGCTCAAGTACGTTGACGATGGGTAGCATGATCTTATCCATATTATCCGCGAGAGTACTATTAGATCGGTCCTCGACTCCGCTGAGTTCATCCGAGGTGCTTGTCGTAGTGTGTCCTGCAGTTGTGAGGGGAATGCTCACTGTTGTCTGGAAAGCGAGCTCACGGATGCTGGCAGAGGATGGCGGTGGTACCGGCAGTTCGTGCTTCAGAATACCTAGTGATGATGATGACGCAGATAAGACACGAGCAGTACAATCCTCCATACCTACGGGCCTGGGAGATATGGTTGAGGCCGGAAACATCGACATTGAATAACTCCGTGACGGCGTGTCCGGTGTTGTCGGTGGCGTAATGTAGGATGAGTTGGGGGGAGGGAGGATGGGTTTTAGCGGAGAAGGACTAGGGAAGCAAAAGTGCTAGTGACGGACGAGTGGTGTTTGGTACAGTGGAGGGCAATGAAACTTGACTTGAGAGTTAGATGAAGATGGCGGGTATTCTGGACAAGTGACGGGTACTAATGAACAACCTGAGTTGTAGGTTGAGTTGATTGGCCCGGGGGTTTATGCTTCACATTCCCGTTCAAGAAAGTTGCTCGGTCCTAGACTCGTAACCATCCTGCCTATGTGCGTTGAGATGTTGTGGTTTCTGACGCCAGGAAGCTGGTCACGAGCCTAGTCCCATTCGTGGCCAAGAGACTTTTAGATCCGACTGATAACGGGGTACCAGAAACCGGCTCGAGTATCATTCATATGCCGTCGCGATCTGCTACGGCGTCATTTCACTTACTATGGCTGGTGAGCTATCTTGGTGAGGTTTTCAAAGTTATATCATATATGCGGAACCTTACCTCCCCAGCTAGTGCTACATCATCGTACTTGTTCGATGTTCTTCAGGCGGGGTGTACTGACGCACTTTAATCGACAAGGAGCAGTATGACTTTACTTTAGTACAAGGGTAGTATTGCATGGCATGTCCGTTTCCCGAAGAAGCTTGTTGGAACCTGGCCGTGACCAACGGTTCGGACTCCGGAGCTGTCCGGCCTCTTAAATTGTTGGCAGATTCTTGTGACGACGAGACGCTAGGACTGTAAATAAATGTAACGTTGCAGCACCTCCAAATCTGACGTCAAATGGCACTTATCATTGCCTATTCCATTCTCAAGCTCCCAGTTGGTTGAAAAAATTGCAGGGTAAAGGCCTGAAGGTAAGTCCGCCTCTATCATTGACTCCTTTTGGAGTTCACTGTTTTTTTTTTCAAGTTCCTGTCATGTTACTTAGACGATTGCATTACAAGCAAAGTTACGCCGTCGGAAGACGGTGTTTTCTGAATTCCAGCAGCGTTCTAAGCCCTGGCAAACACCACCATTAATACTATTCGACACATGACCAACTTCCATGGATGAGACATCTCCGGCATGATAGCTTCGATAGGTGGCTATTGGGGAGCAGCGTTCGCCACGATGTTTGATGCCCTTCTAGTGTTATAGCCGAGATCAAGGACAAAAGTGAAAATTAAGGTTATCACATCATTGCCTTGATGTCATGCAGATGTCGCTTTTGGTCTACACTATGCAGACTGCCCTAGTAGGAGACAATCACGGTTGTTTCTCCGTTTCATTGGGTCGGAGGTTTGTTAGCCTCGACATCCATTGGTCCTTCATATAGATTGGATCACTGATCCAATCTATATGCGGGATATCATGGTGGTATTCAAACTCGATTCGATGGGCGCTGCGCCGACGACCGGCATGTTCCATTCCACTCTCCATCAAATACTTCATCGACTTGGCATTATTTATGGAATGCATGTACAGGTATACGCCTACGCAAGTCTCCGCATCAACTTTACTGCGCAAGGGGGCTCCCCTTGCGCGCTTGTTGAATGCATATAAATGTAGCTGATCCCCAGTCTCTTACCGCTCTCTAACCTACTCTGACAATGAGCTCTGTTGAATACCACTATCCCGTGATCGGCCGCAAGGGCACTGGAGGCATATTTCATCGCTTGCCCATCCAGACACTGCAGAAGGATCAGCCTTACCAATTTGCATTGTTCATCCTTGCTTTCAGTGCCATCCAGCAGCGTTCCGATACCCCCGACATCGAGCCAGCAGCTACCTTCACGGAAATTGCGTCAATTCACGGTAAACCCTACGTTGAATGGGCTGGAGATCGCAACAAGGACACCTCAGCTGACTATAGTGCAACTGACAAGAAAGATATCAACCCTGTTCCTTCCAGATTCGGAGGTATGGCCGTCTGTTCCACAGTTGTTGCCCACAGTCTGACAATATTGTGTGACAGGTTATTGTAAGTAAGTTATGTACACCCTCTCGCTCTGTCCGTTTGAAACCTTTCTTTAGCCATGGCGCCGTTGTTTTCCCTACCTGGCACCGCCCATATGTTATGCTTATTGAGGTATGTTCAACAGATGATCATGCTTGACGCGCTGTTCAATTGTGTCACAGCAATCGATCGGAAACGTTGCTGAACAATTGGCCCATGACATTGAAACTAATAACCCAGGTGAAAATGGAGTGTGGATCAAGGCTGCCAAGGAACTACGTTTTCCGTGCGCGCTAAGTCATTCCCGACACTGATACAGACGTTTACATTACACGCAGATACTGGGACTGGGCCGATAAAGATGTACCCGAGAATGGCCTTCCTCCTGTCCTGTACGAAGATAAAGTCGAAATCATGGCTGCTGGAGGTAAAAAACAAACCGTCGACAACCCGCTCTCATTTTTCTCGTTTGTCGGCGGAATTCCATCCGACTTTACCGACGAGAAGGATGACACAGTACGTCACATTTCCCTTTCCAGATCACTGAACTTGTTCAAATGTGGTCTGAAGACAGGACAAGTGGCGTATTTCTCCAGGTGGCAGAGGACATACCGCTACGCTTATAGCACTCCGAACCCTGAAGGCAGCCATATAGACTTGTTGCAAAAGTGAGTATCTATGGAGACATGCTGCGCGAGGCTGGCGCTGATTTTGCATTTTGCAAGGACGTTTAAAGCCGAGGCAAAGGATCTGAGACGCAGAGTTGCTCAGCTCTTTACGTTCAATGATGACCAAAACTCTGCGATAACGTACGTCTTAGTTTCTACTAGTATTATATATGTATTGACAAATATGCTAAAAGCTGGGACGACTTTTCGAATCATACCGCAGAATCGAAGAGAGAGATGGACTTCGTCAACAGTGGGTCGCTTGAAGGCGTGCACGACACTGTTCATAATTTGCTTGTGGGTGGAAGTACGTTTGTTCCAGCTTTGACGCATGCTTACTCCAGCGATGAGTTAGGGTGGGAATGGACAAATGGTTAGTTGTAAATACTGGCGTGCGAGTGTTGTTCGTTGATCCATATTAACAAAATTTGCAGAGTTACCCAGACTACGTGAGCAATTCTGACCCTCTGCAATGATTTTGGTGCTCATCTTCATATAGGCTGGTTTCGATCCTATCTTTTTCCGTACGTGAACAGGTGCAAATTACCCGTATGGATGACTGACGTGGTTTCCTTTAGTTCACCATTCGAATGTGGACAGGACTATGTGTGTATGATTTCGTTCAAGGGTGTTGTCTTGTTATTGAATCCCCCAAGTGGCTCTGTGGGAGTGGTGCTATACTGAATATTGGATGGGAAGCGGATATGAACACGACGGGGAACAATATCCCTGGACACAGGTATGAGTTGGACGATGTTCTCGCATAGATGCTCAATAGTTGTCTCTTAGGCACGTGGCACGTACGCACAAGTTTACAACGAGCAACTTCTTCCAGACGGGCCACTCCAACCATTCCGAACGGAACAAGGAGACTACTGGACCTCTTCTCAGGCCCGATTCTTGGATGAACAAAGCTACCCCAAGTGTACGTAACAATCTCATCTATTGGATGACATAAGTTTACTTTGAATAGATTATTCATTTCCCGAGTTTGAAGGAATTAAGGTCGATCAAGCTGCCACATCATCCCAAGAGCGTGCCTTGGCGCGCAAAAGGGTGCAAGCCTACTACGGTTTTGATCCGCAAACCAAGGCGAAAAAGGTGGCTTCGCACGCTTGGAAGCACTTACCCGTCCCAAACAAGGAAGACCCTGCAGTGCCAAGTGATCATACCGTTATCCCTCATTACCGCACATTTGTTGTGCATGTGAAACTTGTGGAGCATGCGTACAACCGCTCCTACTCATTCCAGCTCCACCATAAAGGGAATGCTCATTCGAGTCCACAGCTCGTAGGTACCATCACAGTCTTCGCAAGGCCAGACAATTCTCCCTGTAAGCATGTGCTGTGCGTCGTGAGGCAGGATCCGTAGTTCGCGGGATGATCCCCATTCCTCCCGAGTTGATTGACAGTATCATCAAATCAAATGGAGGCGCAGATTCAGGGGTTTCGTTCGACCAGACCCTCGCTCACATCAAGGGGGAGTTCGTTGGAAAGCTTGTGGATGCTACTGGCTCAGAGCTTGCCGGAGCCGAGGGAGGTCTGGGGACGATCCAGGTACCACAACACCATGCCACTTCTCGTAGAGTCACTCCCGTGGAAATTTCTCTGGTGTCGGCTGCTGTTGCTGAGCACGTAGAGGACAAGGATCGTCCTGTCTACCTATGTGGCTGGCAGCACCATGCCAGTATCTTCAACGTAAGCGTATTATTCTTTATTTTGGCAATTGACTGAATATCCTTTTCGACAGGGTGGATGGCGAGCGACTCACAAGGATTCGGAGTGATCCAACGTGCTTGGATGAATCAATGTATATTTGATTGGCCAAATTCAGAACAATGTCGAAGTGTTTGATCTCTGTACAATATGTAGTGGTCGAAGTGTTTTTATCCCTGTACGATATGTAGTGTGAAATGCCGTCATTACTTCTTGGAAGCCTTCCCTTCATTTGGTCTTGGGCGGCGATGTCAAATTCCGACACATGTAGAAGAAAGTGTACGAGGGAGATCAAAGAGATAGCTAAAAGCACTCCAACTCTACTTAACGTAGGGGGTAGCGAGACCAGCGGAGCCACGCGTCGTCGGCTTGTCACTAGTTCGTGCAGCGGGTCGGTTGATAGCTTGGTTGTTCAGAAACTTGCAATTTAGAATCGAAGGCCATCGCCGTTGAGAGTAAGTACTAGGTTGAATTCCCATAAAGCGAACAGAAATGCGCAAGTGCATACTGAATCTTCAATGCATGATCTTCTGGTTACCTTGCTCTCTAACGAAAGAGATAAGGTAACATGAGGGAAGCCTCAAATGTCCGGCCAAGGGTAGCCGCAATGCGATCATGATGATCCGCTAAGCGAGAGTCGATCCAAAGTATGAGCAAAACTTGCGAGTTTTACGGCAGGCAATACAACACGAATGGAAACAAGAAGGCTGCTATAAAGCCTTTGTGTTTACCCTTAATCGAGGGAAAACGAGGCGAACCAACTTATTGCCTCCTCCACTGCACTTGTATCGCCAGACTTGGATAGGGAAGAGGAGGATTTTGAGGGAAGGATGGGGGAAGAAGACTGATGGGAGGAGCAAGATGAAGAGGGGAAAAGGAATAGGATGAAAGGTGAAAGAGGGAGGCGGGTAGGCATAGGGGAAACGACGCAACTCGGACACCGAACGAGCTCTAAGTTAGTAGGATCATGACTGTCCGCTCTTCACATGATATAGAAACAGGTGGACAGCGGTGGAGATGTAGAACTAGCGATTGGCACTGGGAAACTGAAACCTTCGTCGAGGACATGGACTGACATGCTTTCAAGAAGGTCGCTATACTCGGATAAGAAAAGGTTTATCAGGATAGAGAGGTAGAGGAAGAGAGAGCGGGGAAGAGATGGATAGGTGGAAGATGAGAAAGATCTATAGGGAGGGAGGAGGAAAGCGTAAGAAATTCTCTCTTGGATCTGTTTGTGATGGTTTGTCACACCGCTCACCTCATGCCCAGGGTGCAAATTCTGTCACGTGTCCTATGAAAATGTTATTGAGGGGTGGATCATACCCCAAATCAAGCGGGTCAACATCTTTGGTTGAGTGGATGCGTCTCGTCCCTCTTCAATGTTGTACATCTCCGTGTACATGGGAGGTTTACTTGGGTTGCAAAACCATATAAAAGGAAGACAGCCATTCCTTCTATCAAAGCGGGAATCGAGCGTACTACGACATCGATGCCGCCAAAATATGCACAGTCCAGACTCACCGAACCGTATGTACTCACTGTCAAGTTGTTCAGTTGCAACTGTCGCCAACAGAAAGTCTGTATTGCAGCATCTCGACAAGCACTCTAGTGCCACTCGGAAGTCGGAAGGCGCCCCTTGCTTTGTCTCCATCAAAAACGTGCTTCAGGCAATCCCCGATGTGATTCGCTTGTGCGTCCACAACATCACACTTGGTGTCCTAAACGATGCTTACACTCTCAGCCGGAGTCTTAAATCTGTACACAATGCAGAAGAATTGTGTCCACAGAAATGTGATCCACAGCTGTGGGTGGAGACCGCAGGATAAATGGAGAGCGAACAGTATGTGTGCGTTTTCGCATCTTCCCCACTTCTACTTTCTTACCCTGCCTCGTATCTATCGTCATCTGTATCTGCATCCCCTGCAGACAGTTTTTATTTATTACACAATCCTCATCGTCGCTCTTGTCGCCTCTACTTGATCACTGATCCACATTCCCCTTCCGGCCATCTCACTTTCCAGAAACCGAGTTTATCTTGGAGTTTTTGGTATCACCATGACGTCCCCCACATCCCCGAAGGCATCCTCCCGACGTGTGCTTAGAATTACTATTCCGGCGGTTAAAAATACGACTCCATGGCGCTGCATGGCACTAGTATTGCGGTCCTCAAGATCGTCTGCGCTTTCGTGGAAACGATTGCTTCGCCCCTTACGAAAGAACAAATCTTTCCGCAATGGCGAAACACATCTCGCCGAAGATCTTGCCTCACCTTCGTCCGAGACCCTTGTCGGGTCTCCGGTCGAGGACAAACTAACTAGTCCGAAAGTGATCATTACTCTTGGATTATAACCGATAGTATGCTAATTCGTTCTGCGCAGCTGGTCCGTTTCGATGAGTCGCCAACGTATTTTCCCACCAGGCGTCGAATCAAGCCTCACAAGTCCCCCACTCCAAAGGGGGCATTGCGTTCCTGTCTTGTTGCAAATGTATGTGTACTCTTCAATATCGGTTCTCACACCAGCTGACGTCACTGTTTCCAGAACACCGACCCTTTCAAAGAGTTTCTTTCGGATGACGATGACGACGTCTCCGTATATGAAGACTGCCTTACTTCCTACCCTGGCTTTTTCAAGGACATGGAGGATCTTCTCGAGCGCGAACATCTCAAGCAGATAGAAATTGAAAAATCCCGCTCTCCTTGGGAGCTCACTGAATTTGGCTGCACGAAGATGGATCCGCAAGAGCATTTACGCTCCTGCTTGGCTAAGCAAGCAGAGAGAAAATCACGACAAGACATTGAAGGTTGGAGGAAGGTCGTCTACGACCATCCGATGACGCTACGCTGGCCCAGCCGGGAGATCACTGAGCGGCCAGTTAAGGAACCTCCAATCATTTCCATGACGCCCCCGCTCCTTTTCGTTTCAGAGCCCACACTAGTGGCTCTCAATTGGCATCAGCAGATTGCGAGTGATGTCACTGACATGCTGCTTTCGTTATGCTTTGGACTTACCATTTACATGTGCATTTATATTTTGGGCATCTATTGTTTCTTCAGTGGCGTCCTCCTGGATGAAGAGTAACAACCGTCATTACTCAAGGTAGTTTACTATGTAACGCTTAGCACTATTGCAATGTACCGTTAAATCGATATCTAATAACTTGCGGTGTGTCAGTCGCTAGTTGTTTGTTTGGACCTATTGATATCACAAGGTGCTGCCTTCCTTTTTCGATACATAGATTTCTATTTAGGTACCACCGTGTACCTACATGATATCGATGACCGCCCATATCAGTTTGGCCGTGTAACATGTCAGAATCAAGTCCTCCTTCAACCTCCGAACCATCGCGTGCTCGCGGGAGAAGTCGTGGAAAGTCCCGTGGCGGTCTAGGAAAGTACCTCCGTGCACGAGGCCGTGGTCGAGGTGGCCGTCCAGCAGAATTCCACCAGCGCCTCGTGCTAGAAGGCGAAGAAGCAGTCGATCTCGACCCTGATTCTGAAGAGGCGAAAGAACTTCAACAGAAGTATGCACAACGACACCTTGGATCTAACGCCGATCGTTATGCGGAGCCTGAGCCTGAGTTGGATTCTGATGGTGAGTGATGAGTGGATGATGTGTTGAGTTTGTGTTTGATACAGTGTAGGAGAGGAGATTCGTGAGCCGGAAGTAGACCTTTCGTCGTTTCTTGCGAGACAGCGGTTATCGGATCTGCCAACTGTGGTTACTGTGCCTCGAGTCGATGATGATGATGTCGACCATGAACTCGCACATATTTCGTCTCATCGTGTCCCACCTCCGACGTCTCAGAAGGGACGTGTACAGGTCATTGAGTGGGATGCAGAACTTGAGGAAATGAGTCGTGAAAAGGCTGTTGCAGATGCAAGCCGAGGTGACTTCAACTTATGATAGCCGGCGTATAGAAGATTGATTACGGCCGATAGATCTGAAGATGCGATTTCGTGCAAAGTCGGAGAAGCTTAAAGCAAAACCTCCTTTTGCACGTGATAGAAAACAGGGTAGAGTCTTCTCGTCACATCGCACTGAAGTTGTTTGACACTCCGGCTAGATGATAATTACTCTGAGGCGCCAGCCCTTCCCACCGATGCACCGAAGGCGCCCAAAGTGGAGATGGAAGATTTCCTTGATGAGTTACTTGGTTGATGATCTTACACTCCGAGTCTCCGAAACACGTTACTTTGGAGAATGTGCCTCAAGGTGCCTTTTTTACTGCGACCTGACTATCACAACAAGGGAACATCGCTATCCTTCTCTACTGCTCTCAGACAAATATTATGCAGGGTCCACGAAGAGGTGATAGTTCTCACCATGCTGGCGGTGCCATGTATCCTTGTGGTTTATTAGCCACGCGGGAGGTCTTACTTGACTTCTGCTGATTAGACAAATCAACAAGTCTGTTCCCTCCGTGAGCGTTGCTGTCAGGCGGTTGTGGGTTGGCGCCCCCTCTCAAATTATTCGTCTCGTGTTCTTGAAGATCCGCGGCGAATGTACACCAATCGTAGGCCTTCAACGTTCTGCTCACCGAAGACATCGTGCAACCAAGTAAAAATGGAAGGAAATATGAATATTCATTGTGATGTTAGCAGCGAGCGTGCGTGACATGAGGGTTATAATGTTAAACATCCAGGAGTACAAAGGATCGTGGTGATTTGCAGTAGTATGATAAAGATAGTGATATGTTGATTATGTAACGCAAGTATGAGATATATACATGAATGCGAAATATTCCTAGATTGAATACTGTGGGGAACTTGCCATGATGTCAAGGAACGTGACGAAAGGTTTATACGAGGGCACAAGCAAGAACATCCCCTGGTGATCAGGGGGCTCTGGTTGATCTATAACGTCAGTGCCATAGCGCTCATGACGCTGATCTATCACTGCGAAAAGGCAACACAGTTGGTGGGCTCCAAGGCCTGACATGAGGATGTGAAGGCTTGGGACCAGCCCCAACAACGATTGATGTAGTGAGGGCACGTGGATGAGGGCAATCGTATGATAGTGATGGCCGCTGAGATGGCTGATGGGATGAGTGCTCCCAGGGTATAAGAGAGTCGGACATTTGGTCTGAGTGAGAATCGTTTGAAAGGCCCGCTTCCATGTCGGGAGCGTACTTGGTGAGAAGAATATCAGATGCATTCGGGAAAGTGACGTGATTGAGCTTCTTGGGGGGTCTGAACGGAATTGGGGTAGAGCGTGACGAGGATCTCTCGTTGAACAACTTCTTGTCGTCAGCGAGGGGCACCGAGGGGGGAGGTGTAATTTTTGGACCACGATGTCTGAAGCAAATGTCAGCAAATGGGATTCTGAGCACAACGAGAACCTGCCTGGCACTTGGCAGATTTGATCCATGAAAGCTAACATCCTTGATCGACTGTCTCAGGACATGTTTTCGGAAAGCTTTGATGATCTTGCCGTACTCCCTCCTCGCCTCGTCGCTAAAGCCAAAGAACAAAAAGAATATGTATGCACTGGCGGGCATCGCCCACCACAACAAGAACATGCTTTTAATGAACGAAGGCGGGAGTTCGATGAACGCAAAGAGGTCAATGCGGAGCCAATCGGAGTGAACGTTCTGCCAGCTGATCCAAGGTCGCAAGCCCGAATCAGCGTTGTTGTAGAGGTTGAAGGCTGTCAACGCAGTCCCCCACACAATTTCCGTGACGGCCATTGCCATAAGGCGAAGATAACGATGCGTTGTAAGGGCTGAGTTGGCATTCTGTAAATGAGCGGAAAAATTCATGCGTCGGCAAACAAAATGATACAGCGCGAGAGCTAGACGGTGGATGACTATCAACGACGATGTATACACCAATGCGTTGCCAAAACCACCGACCTGCGTATATAAGTGTGGCCGTTGCAAAAACCAGGGGCGGCAACCAAACGATTATGATGCCTGCGATGGAAAAGTATGTTGTAGGTTGGCAGCCAAAGTTCTCAACGATGTCATATCGGTGACCTTGCACAATATAGTCTGTGGTTGTGAGTCTAATCGTGCAAAAAATACTGCCAAGAAGCTTACGCAAAGCCATAAAGATTAAAGGGACTCCAAAGCATATTGCTGTGTCGAAGATAATGCGGCGCCGTTTATCAACGTGATCGAAGCGTACTTGACGATTTGACGACACGAGTTCAAGGTGTTTGCACACAGACATAGTCGCCAATGGCAGTGCGGTATTTGCACCGATAATGAGCTTGGTAGCTAAATAGATGTGTCAATTTGTTGGCTCATCGTGAGCAGTGAGTTTTGCAGCTCACTGATATCGCACCAAACTGGAGCGGGGTTGTTGACGTTTGCGTTCCATACAATAGCATTGATGCCATAAATGATATTCACAACAAACAACCATGATATGATGGAAAGAGTCCCGATGTTACGAGCCCGCCAATGCCAAGGCAAAGGAACAAGGACCAGAGCAGCGGCAAGGAAGGCACCTGCGGGAAGTGACGGATATTGCATTCAAATCAGAATCTTTGAAGACGATGATAGGCAGGGGGGTGCAAGATTCCATTGCGAAAGGCCCTTTGGTTATAATCTTTAAAGACAAAGGAAAACTAGTGGACAATGCATAAAGTAACAATACTGCCACGTTGTTTGCTTACGCCATAATAGACAATGACTTATCAGCTCCGCGGCAATCTTTACTGTGGACAACGGGCCGGGGTTAGTCCCAGGCGAGTTCCTATAGCAGGCCATCCTAGGTAACGAATGCCCTTCCCTCTTCCTCCTTCCAGCACCCGATGTTTGTTCAAGGCTTCAATGTCATCCCAACGGAGCTGCTATATGCGCTATGAATGAGTATCTCGAATGAAAACCGAGAAGTATGGTGCTTACCCACAGGAAAACAACTGCCCAACCACAGGTGTCAAAGTGCCCAGGCTCGCTCCCTTTTGCCGTTCATCAATGACGCACGTATCTCGACTGGTCCTCCAGAACCTATCCGAGAAGTTGGCTTGAAGATTTGAGGCAGGGAACTTATCGTTGCAGAGAATGACATGACCGTTTGACAGTTAGAGATGGCTGGGAGAGGCAGCAAGGGGAAACGTTATGCGTGATGAGGTTCTGGTCAAACTATAGAAGATGTTGACGTGAATATTGTAACCTTACATTAATCTTACCTATCATTCAAAAGCAAAGCGGCATCGTTCCCCCTAATATCCAGACGCAAAGCAGACCACACCTAATATTCAGACGTGATTTGTATGTCGGGTTACCGGTTAGGTGTGACCCCACTGCAGTGACATTGCCTAATCAACCCAACCCACTTTGGGATTTGATCTCAAACAGTCACCATTCTCCACTTTCAAGGCCTCATGCACCACCCTTCCCATCGATAACACATTCACCGCTCGCAGAATACAACGGCCGTTTTAGCCATGCAGCAGGAGATGGACACGCAACCAGACTCTGGTCGTGCTTTCCCTCCGGGCGCGGTTTCTTCCAATATGACCAACTTTGGCGCACAGCATCGTTCCCATTCGACAGCGCAACATCGTCAACATCCATATATCATACGAGGAAGGAAACCATTGAACCAGAAGCTTCGCAGAGTCCCTAAAAATTCAAGTTTGGGAACAGACACTAGAGTTGACCGTCATTTGGCAGCAGATCAGCGAAGATTTACTGGTACTGCCGAACCATTCCCACTTACCACTTCTAATGTCGCTCCCTCCACTCAGCTGATCACTTCAATCCTCATCCCAGACTTAACTAGTCTTATCACCCGATGCAGCCCGGACCCTCTTTCCGGCGGCACATATGGAAATATCTACAAGTGCATATACCACGGGCCAGAGGGCGATGCAGAGGTTCGTGCGGATGTCACAGTTCTTCTACGCTCACCGGCTCATCACTCGCCCGCAGGTCGCCGTCAAAGCGATTCGACCACAATTTTTTAGTGCTCAGGTGATGTTCTATCTGAGGGAACGGTCAGATTCTCATCAAACTTTTTTAGATGTTTCGGAGAGAGCTTGGAATTTGGAAGAGGCTGCGGCATTCTAATATTCTGAAATTCATGGGTACTACTTCGGACTTTGGTTCCTCAGTAGCTTTGGTTGCTCCGTGGATGACAAACGGCACTCTGACGTCGTTTCTCGACCTGAATAAGGCCCTCGAGCTGCATGATCGTCTGCTTTTGGTGAGCAATTCAAATACGTTCCCAGTTTGCACAACCGACTTCATTGTTTCGTGCACAAGCTTCGTGATATTGCTGCTGGCCTCAACTATCGTGTGTGAAAACGTGCATGTCCAAAGGAAAATGAATAATTTTTTGTGTCAGTTCATACATTCAGCTTGACAGAAGACGGATATACGGACTTAAACCCTGTCGTTCATGGAGACCTCACTGGTGTAAGTTCCATTATATGTTCTGTCCCTTGCATACTAATGACCAGTTGCAAGACCAACGTCCTCATCGATGGTGATAGAAAGGCATATCTTGCAGATTTTGGCCTTTCCGGAACTTTTAAACAGTCGACCGGCATGACATACCTCGCGAACATGACTTGTCGTCCAGGAGCAGTGAGATGGGCAGCTCCTGAACTTCTTTCCGGGGAAGAACCAGCTTCTGTAGCCACCACTCAAAGCGACATGTATTCCTTTGGTAACATTATGCTTCAAGTAAGTCATTCCCTCTTGCTAGTGCGGCTCACTGAGATGTCCTGCAGGTTTTGACGGGAAATGTGCCCTGGTGTCACTTGACCCGTGACTTCCAGATCACGTATCAAGTGGTTATTGAGGGGAGAATCCATCCCCGTCCACATGATGATTACGTCACAGACCAGCAATGGAATTTTATGACCCGCTGCTGGTCTATGCCATTTACTGATCGGCCTCCTGCCAAGGAAGCAGTTCAATTTGTTGATAGCGCTTTGCACCTGAGCACGAGCCCCCAGAGCCCGACGTTATGGATCTCCAGCGACGAGCGACACCCGGGTATAGCCTGTGATGATCATCTTCGAGGGGATACTGATGCTCGTAAGACTCCTATCGTAAAATACTCTTGCTTGCTTTCTTATATTGTCGTAGGACTTTCGGTGATGCAGGATATTGATTTACCCCCGCAAGGACGCTCTCCTCGGGACATTCTGTTTTCGGACCTCATGGAGTCAGGGAATTCACTTGTCTCCATGGCCGCTACGACGTCTAGTCATTATGCCTCCCCTGATTTTCAACCTTATGTGCCCCAAATGAACATGAACGTCGAGCAACGATTAGGGGCAATGTCTTACTCCACGAATAAAACGAATACGACTGTCCCTTTTCTGCACCGGGCTCTACCTCAAAAGCTGTCTACTGAAGAGCCTGACGATCACGATATGGCAGAATTTCGAGAACCCAGAAAGGTCGAGGCTATGAAATTAATCAGGTTAGTTTTCCATTCATTCCTGTCGTGTCTCATATCTAAGTGCCCCCTTTATATATCACCTCGACAATTTCATGAGAAATAGTGCTTATATTCTTCCGGCTTCATTACGACCAACTCTGGTGCAGAGGTGAGCGCGGGTCTCCCAAGTTTGATGGTCACATGCTCACTAGATATCCTCAAGCACGGTTAATCATGGTATATTTGTTTTGCCTTCTATTTGAGTCCTTTGCAGAAAGTGTTATTGACCGTATTATATATCCTGAACTCCGAGACCGTATCATCCTTCTTCGAGGTAGTTGCATAGCCATTTTCGAGCTTGGTGATATTCTGATATTTTCCAGGGCAATTTTCGTTAGCGGATTGTTTTTTTGATTACTCGAAGGCGATCAAAGTCTATGAAGATGATGTTCTTTCTCACCATAACTGGGAACTTGCCGAGTGGTGGTTACGGAAATACAGGTGCGCCTTGCAAGCTGCCCATATTGTATGCTTATTCTTCTCTAGTTACCTCGTCGATAAGCCAACCTTGAATGTCTGTAATCGCTGGAGACGCGAGCGCGGTGAACCCGATTTATTGCTATCTGATATTGGTACTCAAGGGATTCTCCCCCGTCCTAAGACTGATATGTGGTTTCAAGCTACAGCCTGGTAAACTTATTACTGTATATAGTTGTATGTTTGGAGACTTTGTGTGGTAATATATATATACTGCGAACTATGTCTAGACAGAAGGTAACCATATGTGCAAAAGAAGTCACATGTAGGAACGACTATCTCCCTTTGTCTATAGAGGTCTGGCTAGAGAGACTAGGTACACTGTAGAGTTACAATCATACTTCATACCCTTTTGGGTGTGACCATGTTGCCCTTAACTTCACCTGGGTTTCCCAATAAGTAAGCCTTATAAGGCTGGATGATTATGTGTCTTGTCAGCCTTATTTGGCTTAACAGTGACTCATTTCTCCAACACCAGCAATAAATGTTGCCCCAAATCATGGGGGTACTTACAGTATGAATCTATGCTTTCTACCTATATACCAGCCACTGCTGATACCTTACTGTCGGCAATGCCTGCTATGTCAGCCCTGTTGTTAGTAATACTGGGTGCTCTTTCCCTCCCAATGTCTATGGTGGGTTCCCACACACTTCCCCCCCTGCCACTAACACCATGTATGGTGTCATCCAGTCTCCTGTCCTTTGTCCATCATCTTACAGTGGCTCAAAAAACTGTCTGCATGTTTTGACATTTTTCACTATCTATGATATTGTGTGAGAATGAACAAATGCCTCAAGGACATGCTTATACCACATTGCAGTATGGCTTCAGGGCTTTCATTTGAGCCCTACACCATGGGAATTGGTGGAGATATGGTGGAGATACAAGGCTCACAAAATGGTGACTCATGCGGACAGTTTTTTGAGCACATATTAAAACTATATAAATCATCATTTATGACACCATAACAATCATGCCACCATTAAATAAATTATAAAGTGGTGTCATTATGTCATTTTAAAACCATATCTAACTATACAAACCAAAAATTTCCATATGTCATGGTTATATTCACCATGAAAGCCACCCCCCCCTGCTCAAAGGGATAATATCCTCTCTCTTTCCTATTCTGGCCTCTCTGCTTGTCAAATTTCCTCTAGAACTGGAGTATCCAAGTCCACTGTGGCCAAGTTCATCAAAGAAAGTCACACAGACAAGGAAAACTTCTGTGAAGGGTGTCCATCCAAGCTCACCTCTACTGATAGGAGGGCTATTATTCAACATATCACTACAGGAAAGGCTGATAATGCTGTCCAGGTCACCTATTACATCAATTCCACCATCACATTCCCTGTCTCTTCACACACTGTGAGAAACATTCTCAAGACAGCTCATCTCAGGTCAGTAACAAGGAAGAAAAGGCTCTCCTCTCTATCACACATATGCAGAGAGGACTAGCACCCTTCTTTTTTCACATATATACCTTGCCATCTGACCCAATCCTATTTATTGTGGTCTTATATGATCATATAACATGCTTCCAGTCCATGTAATCCAATTCTGATGGGCTAAGGCAAAGGTTAGTCCTCTCTGCATATGTGTGATAGAGAGGAGAGCCTTTTCTTCCTTGTTACTGACCTGAGATGAGCTGTCTTGAGAATGTTTCTCACAGTGTGTGAAGAGACAGGGAATGTGATGGTGGAATTGATGTAATAGGTGACCTGGACAGCATTATCAGCCTTTCCTGTAGTGATATGTTGAATAATAGCCCTCCTATCAGTAGAGGTGAGCTTGGATGGACACCCTTCACAGAAGTTTTCCTTGTCTGTGTGACTTTCTTTGATGAACTTGGCCACAGTGGACTTGGATACTCCAGTTCTAGAGGAAATTTGACAAGCAGAGAGGCCAGAATAGGAAAGAGAGAGGATATTATCCCTTTGAGCAGGGGGGGGTGGCTTTCATGGTGAATATAACCATGACATATGGAAATTTTTGGTTTGTATAGTTAGATATGGTTTTAAAATGACATAATGACACCACTTTATAATTTATTTAATGGTGGCATGATTGTTATGGTGTCATAAATGATGATTTATATAGTTTTAATATGTGCTCAAAAAACTGTCCGCATGAGTCACCATTTTGTGAGCCTTGTATCTCCACCATATCTCCACCAATTCCCATGGTGTAGGGCTCAAATGAAAGCCCTGAAGCCATACTGCAATGTGGTATAAGCATGTCCTTGAGGCATTTGTTCATTCTCACACAATATCATAGATAGTGAAAAATGTCAAAACATGCAGACAGTTTTTTGAGCCACTGTATTTCATTATGGACCCTGTCCTTATCTCACTTACATACATAGAGCACTCCCTATTCACTTCCGAGCCCTGGGAGTGTACCTAGGCACAGCTTACCTGTTGCCTAGAAAAGTTTTCATACATTAACCACCATCATGTCAGTAGTTGTCTAGAGTCAGAATTTATCGTCTTCAGCCAGTATGCATTAGTTGTTGCCCTAGCCCTCAGCAACACTCCATTATCATCAGTCTCCATTCAGCAGCCCCAGTTCATGTCCTCATGACTTCTACCAGTTTCTTATATGTTCATGCACAGCTTGTGCATTATTCCCATGCTTCGCACTCCTATGCGCTCCACATTCCTGCACATGCACTTTCAGCATGCTTCACCAGAGTTGACCTGGCATCATCTTTGTGGATCCTTGCTTTCTTTGCTTCCCTTAAGGGTTGAACATATTGCCTGGCACACTTCAACCAACATTTAGAGAGTTAGTAGGTTTCCTCTCACCCCAGAGGTAGAGCCCTCTTTCTTTCTTTAGCTCTGCAGCTTAGCAGAGCTGTTGAACCTTCAGTGGCTTAACATATGAGTGGTGGTGTGTGCGCACTAGTCCTTTGATGCTTCAAAGAGTTCTTCTCCCCAGCACTCAAACTCACAATTGAGGAAGGCACGTCATTTGAGCTTGTCTGACTGGTGCTCTTTGACCATTGAGAGAATCTGTTTGTGCAGGGGTCTGGGGTACCATGACCTGCTCTTGATGGAACTGCTGGGGATGTCCGCAATGAATGGACAGAGCTCGATGGGGATGGGGATTGAAGGGAGCATCTGGCATATGGGGGGATATACACTGCAGGAGGGTGTATGCACTTGAAAATCTCATTGCAGGCCTTGTTCCTGCTGTGGCCTGCCCACCAACCTTTGACAACTCTGCAATTGTCTCCAAATACTTTGAAATAAATGCCAGTGGGGCATGAACTGAGGATTGTGAGGACCAGGAGCTCAAAACCGACACTTTCAGCCCAGCCAATGTCTCAGTTGTCCCCTTTCCATCCTGGTAGTAGGTCCCATGCCCTCCATCTTCCATCAATGTAAATCCCAATTCCACAACCAGAGCTAGCATCTGAATAAGCATGGAAGTCATATGTGATGACACAGCCTGGGATTGTGTGTGAGAGCCCCTGGGAGCTAATGGTTTTTGTCCACCAGTTGAGGTCCTTCACAGTGTCCTGTGGGGGAGAGTGAGGTAGGAATGGTTGGTTTTGAAAAATTCCAAGCATCCATTCCAGATTGGTAAGGTAGGCCCAACTGGCCAGCATGATGCATGCTGCATGTAGCAACTTCCTGTATAGCTTTTGTACTTCTTGCAGGGTGTGTGTGCTGCGAGTCTTCCACATGTCAATGGCGTCCACATATTTGGCTGTCTTTTCTGGGGATAATGATATTGAGAGATTGGGGATGTCCCAAAGGAATCCTGTGAAGTTGGGGTCTGGTCTGAATGACTTATCCTTTGTCGTTTCCCATATGATGCCCAATGGCTGGGAGTGATGATCAATGTTGGCCATGCAGTATGTAAACTGTGCATCCTCTGCTGAATGAGGCGATAGAGTTGAGAGATCCTTGATTGGGAATATGCAATCCTCATCAAATTCTTTGTATGAGTCATCTGGCATCATTTTGCCTCTGTACCATTTTTGGCCACACTCAATAATAGGTCCATTGGAGGCAATCTGCAGTGCCCATTTCTTACATCTATTATTATATTCCAATAGAAATTCTCGCTTAATGCGGAAAAATAAATAATTGTCCACCCATTTCAATAAGGGACCAAGTCCGGTTGCACAGAAGATATCCACCCCTGCATCTGTGACATTGCCATAGATGCCTGCTGAAGGGCCAAAACCAAAGTATAGGGCTGTGTCAACTGCGAAAGTGTCTTCACCTGGTAAGTGTATGACCAGTCCAGCCCATTGAGAATGGTGCGAGGGAACCATTCGATACACTTCAGCCACATTGCATATGGCCGCTTGGGACCCTGGTGGTAAACTTTGGATGTATCTACAGATGGTGGCAAAGGTGCCATATGTGCATGGGAATAAGTTCAAGTCAACCCTCGAGTTGATCAATTTGATGGGGGGGAAGGATTATTGGGAAATGATAAGTTTTGTATGAGTCAGAATTTGCCTGGTTTGCCGGGTTTGGGAATAATTGACAGTGGTGATGTCTGAAATGGTCCAATGGTCGATTCCAGTTCTTCAGTTGAGAATGGGCCAATGAAGCGGCCTTTGATGAATTCAGTATCAACAATGTTTTGAAATGCTTCTGTATATATGATGATGGATACGTTGTTGGGGGGGGGCATATGTATGCTTAATTGTGGGAATGCCTCCACAGAATCCTGTTTCAAGACAGTCTGGGATGTGCAGATACCTGCTGTTAAGATTGAAGTCTTCCAGCATTTGATGCCATGCTTTCACGTCATATGGGGTGAGGGCTCCATGGTCTTTGTTGCTGCAACCTGAACACATGTGGGCCAAGTTGTGGTTTTTGGCTGAGCATCCCCCAGGTCTCTGCCACCTGTAACAAAGGGGGAGACTGTTCATGCTGATGATTCGCCTGTCTTGCATTCAGTGTGAGTGTGCTGGGGTGTTTTTGTCCCATAAGTTGCTTGAATCACATTGTTGGATGTTGTGTGTGAAGCAGCCCAGACATATGGCGCAGGCAGAATGGCCACAAGAGCCTGCACTGCAGGAAAAACCCTTGTTGTGTTGCTCTCATTGCTTGCCTTTGTCTTGCAATGGGGATCTGTCTGCTTTCTTCTGGTTGCTTGTTCAACTGGGAGAGCATGAGCGTGATGGTCTTTGTCATGCTTTGGATGAGTCTCTGTAAGAGGTCCTATGGTGCTGATGTTGGGATGACAGTGGTTCTACACTGTTTGTCTGCATTGGTTGGTCCTACAAGTGTGAATCACACGTCCACGTGAGAAAGAGGGGCAGGCATCTGTGTGTGAGGTGATGTGGGCATCCACATGAGAAAAGTGTGGGCATCTGTGTGAGATGTAATGTGGGTGTCCACATGTAGGTAGTGGGCATCTGCATGTTGAGGTGCAGGGAATGAAGGGTCAAAGGTACAATAGCAATTTGATGAGAGGGAATGGTTGTATATGCATGTTTGTCAGTTTACTGGTTTGATCCTGAGTGGGGTTGTACACACCATGACCAGAGTCCTCAATCATACTCTATCCCATATCTCTTCATTTATAGAGCATATCAGTGTCTCATTGATGATTCCAATGTTGAAGCCTTCATCATGCTTGAGGAGATCATGCCAGTTTAAGTGTACTTGGGATGCGTAGTGCAGGATCACTAAGTTGCCTAGTTCACTGTTGTCATGGATGGCATGGTTTTCAAGGTGTCAAAAGAACAAAGCTAGGGCATCTAGGTGAGTTTGGGGCCACTTTGCCATATTGGCCTGCATGAGGAAAAGATTCTTCACTCACAAGAACATGGAGAATGGGAGCTCAGGATCCAGGATTGCTGACCTGGAAGCTTTGAATGCCAATGATGGACAGATGATTAGCTGGTTGTCAAGCTTTGCTAAGCTGAACATGTTGTCAGCGATGGAATGGGAGGTCTTCATGGCTTCCTTGCAACCTTCTGGGGAGAAGTACCATAGTTCTATGTATTCAAAATTGTTCAGTTTCTGAATTGTGTATTGGGAGGGATGAGGAGCAATGGCATCACCAACAGTGACCATCACACTGAAACCATTCATCTTGGGCTTCTTCTCTATCTCAAGGTGGTCTTTCTTAGCTTCTGCCTCCTTTGCTAAGCGTTCTTCTTCCTCTTGAGCTGCTCAAGCTCATTCTATTTTGGCCTCTTCTTGGGCCTCATCAGCAAATCACTTTGCCTCTGTGGGCTCTGTACAGCTCTGTACAGAAGGGACCAAGCTGTGGCCAGCCATTTTTTGGTGGTGGGAAAAACAGTGTTTTACTGATGCTCTTCATCCCATTGGCAGTTCCATTCAAGGACTCTCACTTCATGACCCACTATCCAAGCATCTCTTAACCTGTCCACTACCACCTGGTGCATGGTTCCAGTTGCATTGACTAAGTCATCATGGATAGCTACAAATAAGTTGCCAGCAAAGTCTGGACATACTTCAAGGGAGGGGTCAGCCATAACGAGGAAAGGTTCTAGAGTTTCTCATTAACAATTTTCGCAAGCAATTGTTTGTGATGATGCTTGAACGGAAAAGTGTTCTGATAAGGAGAAAAAAGGGGGAGAAAAGAAAATAAAGCGCTATTCCGACGAAGTGCACGGGGTGAACTGTTCGTCGCGGTGAAGAAGCAAGATGCGCAAAAGCTCCGCTTGCCGTTCGCTCGAAGACTTAGCTCTATTGCCTCCAGTCGTACCTCGCTACGTACATAGAGTGACCACAGGGCGATAATTTAGTCTGACATATCGTCCATCACATTTTTCATTCAAACCGGCTAGACATGTACATAAATCATAATAATTTCATAGATCGTACTTGGGCAGGATCAGGAGTGTGCAAGTCACTGTAGAACTATTTGTCAATCTAGCATAAAAAATGAACGAAAATCGAGAAGGGTGGACGACGAATATAGTAAGCTAGCCAAACGATGGTGAAACATAATGATGGTAGTACACTAATCAACGTAGCGTGAAGGTAATCAAACAGGGCATTAGCCCCTAGTCCAGATATAATGGACACGTCATGACGAAAAAAGAAAGATCATAGATATCCATGGGTGGTGTGGTTTCTCACGATTGCGACGGACGCAGATGATGACTGCATGGAGCCGTCCAGGTCAACAGCAGCAGGGTACAGGCTGGGTGACGAAAAGGAACGGTGGTAAGCGGGGGTAATATAATGTGCCGTGCGGCGCTCCCGCGATGATTGCCAGGAATGAGCCTCAGATGGCGTTTCGAGGTCGGTATCAATTGTACATGCCTCTACGTGAGATCGTGAATACTTTGAAGATGTGCGCGAGAGGTCCTCAGAGAGTTTTTCTTTAGAGTATGGGGGCAGCGGCGATGGTAAATCAGCATATTTCTCGACATTTTGGTAAACGTCAGAGCTCTTAAGGTCGAGGACATGCGTAAATGATGACTGGAGTTTGATTCGAGGAGGTGCAGGGGTGCTGTAAACTGGCAATGTACCAATGGGTTTGGCTTTCAACCTAACAAATATTTGAGTCTGATAGCGATCATGAAATAGGACGGGCACCAACCTGGGAGCACACGGCCTCCATGTCTGAGTTACAGGAGGGTTGTAGCCGAAGCGCTTTGCAATCCAAAGGAAGTATGGCCGGTAGTGCTTTCTCGCTTCACTCGCGAAGCCAAAGAGAGCAAAGAACATGAAGGCGCAAACCGGAAAGAGCCACTGAGTCAAATCGATGGATCGTTTGTAAACTGAATTGCTGGTCCATTCGGCGGCGGGAATGAGACCGATGTATGAAAAATTGTAATGTGTGTCTGAAAAAGATACCCATGATTGCATGGGTATGCTCGTGCCGGAGATATAGACACTGTAGATACTAATTGGCACAGTGAAAGCCATTTCGATGACTGATAACATCATCAAACGGACGTAACGGTTGGCATTCATCGGACTGTTGCCTGCCATGAGGGAGTTGAACGTCATACGGCGTTTATAGAATGCAGCAAAAGCCAGGCCTAAGAAAAAAGTGAGCTTGGTCATGTAGCGTGCCGAACAAACGAACCAGAGTAAACGAAGGAAATGCAGCCAAGTAGTGAAGGCCACATGTAGACCAGGAAATATGCTGGTATTACATTGTAAGTCGCTGGCCAGCAACCAACATCTTCAAGGATATCGAAACGGTGCCCTTGAACAATGTAGTCTGTGGAGTATGATCAGTGCCAGTTGACACCATTTCGTTGCTGAGAAGGTACGCACGAAGTGCCATAACTATGACAGGGATACCGATCGAAATGGAAAGATCGATGATGAGAGCACGCCATTTCTGTCGACCGCTTATTACAAGCTCTCACTCACGATACAAGAGGGTCTAACGTACATCCTCACGCGTTGCCGACGCAGTTTTTATGACAGCTATGGTGTACAAGCGGTGACTAATACACAACGCAGAGGCAGGGATCCCAATGCTGGCTCCAATGAGTAATTTGGTTGCTGCAGGTCCGTGAGCAAGAACGATTGTAGAGACAGCATCGGCAATTACTCACAGATATCACACCATACAGGTGCAACATTCAAAGCGCTGTTACGCCAGATGATAGAGTTCACAAATTGGATAAGACATGAGATGGCAACCCAGATCATATAGACACAAGTGCCTGCATTCCATGCTTGCAGATGCCATGGGAAGGGGATGAGAACAAGAAAAAAACCCAAGAAAGAGATAACGGGGAGGAGGGGATACGTTGGATTCGCACTATAGCTCATTGCAATATTTGGCACCGTCGTCGGCGACGGAAACAAAGATTGGGAACAAATCCACAGTGGACTCTGGCTCTCATCTTTATGATAATGCTGCAGACAATGACGAAGCGGAGTTAGTCGATAACTGTGGCCTTTGTTGTTTTTGTTACGCAACGGACACCAGTAGTCACATCACATACCCCTGTGACGGTCGTCTATTGTTGGCCAATTTGAATGAACAATGAATCAGTTGAATTCATCTCCCAGACAATGTTAACTCTGTACAAACTCTGTACCCCGGTAGTGTCGGAGCTCACGTGAGAGTATCCATGGGCATCACTGAGAGCCCCCACATGATTCCTTGCGCTACCCCACTACATATCATGCAGCCAATATATATGAAGGAAAGCCTTTTGCTCTGCCAGTGTTCTCCAACCTTCGTGACTTAAGGCATTCAAATCGCGTACTACTCTAGCAGGTCAAGAATGAAGTTGTGGCAGTATGGGACAACTAACTTTTAGCAAGAGCCGTGTTAACGAAGCATCTCGACCTGAACTGCAACTTGGAAAGACAAGGCCGCTCAAGCTGTCTCCTAAGATTACAGTATTCTTACTAGTGATAACACTACGGTCCAATCTGGGATCGTGGCTTGTGGTCCGTTGTACACTTGCTAGATTTTTGCCACGCTATCGATGTGCGTTATAAACCTGTATCGAAATTTGATCACGATCCGATATTGATAGTCGGTATGCGTCGAAGACTCGAAGGCATCTGCTTTCCATTTGGCCACCCCTGCTCGCAACTGACTCCAATCCATATGATGCCACTATTGGTCCACATGTGAGTTCCACATTGAGAAAAGTATATTCATCCCCGCACGCACGTAGATAGTGAGTTACATAGATATCCACATCCAATGAATGGGGTTCGTTGGGACTATTAGCAAAGACCGTAGTTGAATGGCGCGTCAACGCAAAAAATCTAGGAATACGAAGGTTGTGCTGTATCATATCAGCATGATACGTCGAAGGTGAATGCAAATAATGGACATGCACGCGAAAGGTTATCTAAGTGTCATTTCTATGTTGAAATAATAGTATGTGAGGAACGGAGAAAAGCCATATGACGTCATCCCCCTTTCGAGCCGGTCAACAGTGCATAGATCCTCATCACGAATACCACGCTGATGGGCACCAACGAGAAGAATAGTTGAGTGGCCAAAGGGCTGAGCATGAGGTCGTGAGGGCAGGGTATCCGCCTCAGTATGGAGAGGTAGCGAGAGCTGCTGCAGGGAAAGTGTTAGTCAAGTGACATTCGTCGCGGTAATTGTTAATGTGAACACTTTGAGGGGCGATATGACCAAGATGTCTCAGGTAGGTGCCCGCTTTCAAGGTCGGGAGTATATGTCGAAAAAATTCGGAGTAATGTCAAACTTCGACGACAGATAATGCCCATTCCCAAACCTCTTGACCGGGTTAGCAGGAGCTGTAGATGACGATACAGACCTCCTGTCAATCGACCTCTCGTCAACAACCGGCTGCAAAGACGGAAGAGTTGCGACGTTCGGAGCACGACGATTTCTGCAGCACAATGTTTACAAGTAATCCTTGCGGTGTATGAAAGGAAAACTTGCCTGCAATCTGGTTTATTTGATCCAACGACAGTAGCATCTTTGATCGATTGTCTCAAGATGTCTTCTGAAGGCGTTAATGACCTTGCGATACTCCTTCCTCGCTTTCTCACTGAAGCCAAAGAAAAGGGAGAAAATGTATGCACTGGCGGGCATCGCCCACCACAATGAATGCTGGAGCAGTTCAAGAAAGGCAAATAGATCAACGCGGAGCCAGTCGGAATGGACATTCTGCCAACTAACCCATGGTTGCAACCTCGATTCGATGTTGTTATAGAGATTGAAGGCCGTCAACGCGATTCCTCAAATAATTTCTGAGACGGACATAGCCATTAGGCGAAGATAACGTTCAGTTGTGAGTGCGGAGTGAGTATTCTGTGGGTGGGCGGCGAAGGACATGCGCCGGGAAATGAAGGGGTAAAGTGCGATGGCTGAAATGAACATGATTGATGTATGCACATGCATATAATGACAATCACTGACATGCGTACACAAGGGTGGCGGATGCAAAACCAGGGGTGGCAACCAAACTATGATGATGCCTTCGATCGAAAAGTATGTGGTGGCCTAGCAGCCAAAGTTCTCCATGATGTCATATCGATGACCTTGTACGATGTAGTCTATGAATGGAAAGAGTGGGACGGGACTTACGAAGAGCCATGAAAAGCAGTGGAACACCAAAGCACATGATAGCGTCGAAAATGATGCGCCGACATTTATCAATGTGATCGAAGGAAACCCGCCAATTCGACGCTACTAATTCAAGGTGATTGCACACACGCATGGTGGCTAGCGGTAATGCAGTGTTTGCACCAATGATGAGCTTAGTAGCTGAAAAGGCCTATCAGTTCTCAGCTAACGACGAGACAGTTTGTGAATTTACATATATCGCACCAGAGCAGATCTGGATTCCTGGCGTTTCCAGCCCATACTATGGCATTGATCCCATAGATCATGTTTACAACAAAGAGCCATGCTATAATGGCAAGAGTCCCGACATTACGAGCCCGTCAATGCCACGGCATCGGAATTAGGACAAAGGCGGCAGCAAGAAAGGCGGCCACCGGAAGGAAAGGTATTGCATTGGAGTTGGCATCGCATAGTCAGTAGAGGAGCGCAAAGTGGACGAATCGCCATGAAATACATTGTTGTTATGTTGAGAGAACAGGCGAGCGAACGACGGGAGAGGGAGCTAGAACACAAAGGTACGATCTCAGTTTCAACTAGAACTCATATTAACGTGTATAGTACCTAGAACACAAAGGTACGCTACGGTTTTGGTCAGTAATTGCTGACATACATGTTTCCAAGTACTCACATCTCAGTTTCAACTAGAACTGAGATGTGCGCGTCTGATGGGCACTTGGTTTTATAGGAAGGTAAGTAAGGAACGCAAAGGTGAAGTTTTCTGACATATGTATATTGCAGGGCGCAAGCCGATGTCATTTGGGCGCAGCCTATTGGCCCGTCTGCCTCATGCGCTCGGACCTCTCTCGCTCGCTCGTACCTATCATGTCGGATCCTTCGGCTTCCTCACTCTCTTTCTCTTTGGATCGTTCGGACTTCAACATGTTATTGACGATATGCTGGAAGACAATGGCCCATCTAGTCCGAGTGGTCACAATCATCGGGTGTGGATGAGTACAAATAGCGCAAAACACCAATATGAAAGGTTGCAACGCTTACAGACAGATTCTTGCACTTAGTAGTACTCCTTAGTAGGCTTCAGTCTTTACTTGTAAGCTGTAGCTCCCAATGAGAAAGTCCTCAAGTCTTCACCGGTTACCACGCAGCAGGAGTGTCTACACTCTGATATACAGACGTCTGAACTGCATGAAGCATCCCTTCTTTTTCCCACGTCCCTTGCAAAGAATGAGTTACCTTGTTACCTTGCGAAGGTCATGTTGGTGTTGGGATAATCTGTCAGTCACCTGACATGAACATCATGCTGTGCATTCACGCGATCCTAACAGAAAATCATAGACACTCGTAAACAGGGTTGAACGTTGAACGTTGATCCAAAGCACCAGCCAATTGCCTGCATACCGGAGCAAGGTCAGAAGCTCGCAACGCGATCCCCTAGCACAAATACGTCACAACACCAATCCGACAGTTCGCACGGAATTCTTTTTGTCTTTGATCAATCCTTCGTGATGCTATTTAGTTCCATTGCGAGAACAATGGATAAACTGCTATGCCACTTTAGGGTAATAATGGAGCAAGCTGGTTTTATAAAGAAAACTCTACGGGCCAGTGGACTCGGTAATTGTAACTAATCTCACTCCTTTGCTCAATCTTGTGTTCGCGATATCCTGACTATAATATTATCATGGACATATTGGCCTCCATATCTGATTTCCTTAATGCTGCATCATTGGACGGCGATCCCCCAAGTTGCGCTATGGCTAACGACGACCCCATACTCGTAGACGCCGAATATTATATGGGAAATCGCGCGCAGAACGGTTTCTGTATAATTATTTAGTGGTAAGCCAACCGTCACCTTTCTCTTGAACTTGTCTGACTATGGGTAGTTATGATTTCTCTTGTCTCAGCTTGAAGCGCGAGACCTTTTTTTTCGTTTGCGCAAGGCGCGATGGGCCGGGTGAGCCGCCATGCGTAACTCCACAAGCAAGCAAGATTGATGACTTCCACAGGACCGTCTCTTGACCATACCCTGGTCGTCAATATACCCCATTCGACCTTCGTCGTTTACATAATTTATTTGTGCCTTTCTCTCGTCTCACTTGAAGCGCGAGACCCTTTTTCGTTGGCGCACGACGCGATGGGCCAGGTGAGCTGTCATTCGTGATTTCACAAACGAGTAAGATTAATGCTTTCCCAGGCCCTTCTCTTGACCATACTCCCAGTGGTCGCCAATATACCCCATTTGGCCATCGCCACTATTTGTTCTTTACTTGGACCTTTCTCTCGTCTTAGTTTGCAGCCCGGGTCCCTTATTTCGTCTCTGCACGACGCCATGGCGAGCTGCCATTTGAGATTTCATAAGCAAATAGGACTCATGGTATTCCCAAACCACTCTCTTGACCCTACTCTGGTCATCGACATATTTATTCGACCTTCATCTTTGTCCATTATTTACTGTTGCCTCGGGTTCATTATGTACTTCGGTCCAAACCCTGAGCCCCGCTTTATTATTCTGTGGTTGATTGATCGCACTCCGTCCTACTGGGGCACAGGTTATGAGTCATCAGTCATCATTCATCCAGCTAGTGCGAGCTGGGGAGCTCATTGATTGCAAGCAAAGCCTGCTTATGAGAACAAGCAATACAGTAGTGAAAGTGATAGGAAAGTGCACCATGGATACGTACTAGTAGCAAACTATATGTTGGTGAATAAACAATCAAATACGATGCCTGTACGGCAAATTATTAGTATGCACAGATCGAAGACAACAATGAGTATATGGGACTGAGTACTGACTATGTATGTCCTGACACTGTCCCATTGATACATGGCATCGATCGTCGTGCCATCAGTCGCAAGTTGATGGAAGTCATAGTTTCTGAAGCTTAAAGCAAGACATCACCGTCCAAATTGACAGCACGCACGATCCGGCATATAATTTCGTAATGGCAGGCGAGAGTAGAGTTGAACCGCATCAAACAAGACACGGAAACGTCAACGGTAAAGAATGAAGAGCGGGTGGTGGTAAGGTGCTCGGCCAATGGCGACATCAAGCAACTGTAGGAATAACGAACAAATGGGTGCAGTTAGGAGTTTGACAGGAATAATATGAGATAAGCGAAAGGAACATTGGACAAGGTAATCGGGGCAGTGCCGCCGTTACACCTATAATTGTCGAACAATGAGGATGATCCCTTGTAATCGTATATGTAGCTGTAATGTTGTCTTTGGGCAGATGTCTTTATGTCCAGAGTGAAGAGGCGTACCTCTGCATTCGTGAGTGCGACTGCATGGACTTTCGTAATGTTGTATAGTCTGCTATTGGTTTATAACGGTGAGGTAGGAATGCCCACTGAGGCACCAAGCACTATCTGAATGGTTCCAGAGTTTTAGGAAACAAGCAGCATCCAGTGGTAACACAGCATACCATAGGCTTATAGGAAACCTTCAACAAAGAAATGTGACTAGCACACAATGCATTATAAATGTTCCAGGTTGAGGATTTTTGAACAATCGATCTTTCAAATTTAATTGTTGTTTGTTATGGTGGCTTTCTGCTCCGTCCTTTTCTGCCTTCATCCTTTTCGTCCTACATATATGCGGCATGGCCAGCAACTTTTCATCCTCGCATTCTGTCAACGTCTTGATGCTTTTGCGCGTCCTGTGGGAATAACAAAGGTATATAGCACACAATGCATTATGTTCTACATTGTGGCTACGTGTCGGAGATAAATACGAGTTCCAAATTTGGACGATTCGCCGGAGACAATAGCACGAAATACACCTCTAATTATCGAACAATGGTAAAGACGAATCGCTATATAACATGGCCGTGGCGTGGAGCTCCCTTTGTACTAATATTCAGTCCACAAACCTCGAGGTCTACTACGCTAAAGCGGTGCCATATGGACGCCTTCATCACTCTGCTCGATTTGAAGCCATCGCTCTTTGTTAGGTCACCATCACATACTACATCACAGCCCAATTGGGGTGATCTAGCACAACTTGAAATGCAATGCATGGAACCTTCCAACTCGCTGCCGGTTGACCAAGACAACCTCTCCAGTTACTTTGCCAGCTTCTGTGTCATTTTATAAGATTTGCCCCCCGTCACTCTCAGGGGGGCCAGCGCGAGGTGTGTCTGTACGACGCCTCTTTCGGTAGATGTCTCCTTAACCAGTTCTTGTTATGAACAGGGTACTATGCCTCATGCGCTGGTTCAGCATCAAATTATTCGGACTAGAGGCTAGCCCTCGCATTATTTATTTCAGTGGTCCTAGCAGGACCTCCGCGCTGCCGCACGTTTAAGTGCGACATATTTATATCCAGCACAGTGCCTAATTCTGTGGCTATACCCCTCCTCCGACCTTTGTTGTCTTCGTTTGCTTTATCTATAGCACAGTGCTTAATTCTGTGGCTATACCCCCCCTTCGATCCTTGTTATCTTCGTTCGCTTTATTTTCGTGGTTACCTTTGACGCACGTTTAACTGCGACATATTTATCTATAGCAGTGCTTAATTCGGTGGTCATACCGCTTGGTAGAGCTGCTTGTGCAACGTTACATATCTCTGTTCGTGTACCCAACTACTTTCCTGCTAGTACTTATTTATTCGTCTTCCATGAATCCTTACTTATCTGCTGATTGTGGTTCTAGCTATCGTTCTTACTTACGTTGTGGCCATTGCTGTCTTTTGACTCATGTTCTGCTGTGGTTATATCAGTTCTTACTTACGTCGTAGCTATTGCTCTCGCTTTCGCATTGTTGTCATTTGTTCCGCCCTGCAGGGCCTCGTCGTTATTATTGAGTCAATGCATTTTCACCAATTCTCAATAAATTCGAGCTGGAGTGTTCGAAACAATGGGATGTTCACAACCGTTCAAAGCAAGTCACGACTTAGTCCTACACAAAATTGACTGTCAGAAATGCGTTCAAATGTTGTTGCATACTTGAGGATATCATGTAATTGGTATATTGAATGTATATACGCGTAACGCAACATGTCTGGACAAATACCAGTGGATGCACATGACTAGACTCGTGACCAGTCCTTACTGTGTGGCCGGTTTCAACTCGCCTCATAGCAAAGACTAGTCACGAGTCTAGTACATGACATAAAGGATGGGAGGTAGATTAGTATCTCACCCCACAGCCATTTGCCCGACGGTGTCGCGTACTACGTAGATGTAAAGTGACCGTGATAATAAAGGAGTGGAAATGAGTACGTAATGACTCTAGTCGTCTGCATGCATGTTAACGTACGTGCGAGACGAATAAATAGTGCTAGGACTTGTGGAAAATCGAAAAAAGATAGGAGGGAATTCTGGAAGATGAGCCCGGAAAAAGTAATCCACAGAAGATCCTAATTTGGGTCCTAGTGATCATAAAGCAGAAAGAACAAATAGAACGTGACATCAGTGTCTGTGGACGAAGGGCAAACAAAGCAAACAAAGCAAAGCACTGAAAAAGCAAATAAATAGATCCCATTCGTCTCTTGCAGACGAAGCATGACTTTAAGTCATAAGCTGCGCATCGATTCCATCAGCCTCATTCCGAAAGGAGCGAAAAGGAAGACGAACGTACATCACGGATCGTTTTCGAAACAGTAACAGGCGCCGCTACCCGCGGCACACGCATTATGCAATGCTACAAAAGTAGCCAGCACCGCCATCATAGTAGGAGTGTTCAAACTCCAAAGGAACCGATTCAGCGGGATGGGAAGTGAGAGCAGATGTTTCGAAGGGCATGGTAGATTCAGGAAAGGAAAAGGACTCGAGATCGTCGAATGAGTCCATCATCGAGTTCGACGGTGGACCTGATGGCAATATTTATTGTGAGCGCAGAAATGGGTAGCGCGAGAGGGCTTCCAAGTGTTAGTTGGGACGGGGCCGATGATGATACTAATTATGTCGGTGAGCGCAGGAGTGGTGGCGCTAAGTGGCGCGATAGGGGTTGCAAACGTTGTTTGGCTCGACGAGTATAGGTGCTCGCACAATATGATACTCTCACAAAGGGCGAAAAATTGGCAGTCATGGCGATCCTTTGTCTCCCTTTATACCATGCTGGGAACAATGATGTTTCTCTGCATTGACCGTCATCGATTGTTGATTGGTAAGAGAATTACCATATTCGGTCATAATCTGCAATCCATTGAACTCTTCCTTCCTTGTTATGTTCCTAGTGCCCCATTTGGTTATTGTACCTTTCACTCACAATGCACTGCGAGATCCCGCCGGTTGCGTTCCTCGCAGCTATGTCACTGCTGCTGCTCTCTCTGCAATGGCATTGACAAGCACGAACTATTGCAACTCTCTTTGTCATGGCCTGGCTTTTCAAGTTGTCCTCAATGTTGTCCGCGATTTCGATGCCACTGTGGGGTAACATTAATCTGAACATTGCCAGACTGGTGTGGTGCGATATCAGTGAGTTCACTAGGACTCTTGAAGTGACCTTGCGGCTGATGCCCTTCGAGGTAGCAACATAATCGTAAGGTCTGCATTGGCCCTCCCGGCTGCCTGCTTGTTGCATTGGCATTCACCTCGAGTGTGTCGATTCGGTTCGATGCAGCGCGACCAACGCAACCACCAGCTTTTCGAGCTATCAAGGCACCTTGGAATATGGTTTTCATGAGACTTGGTATGAACATTTCTATGAAATGTATTATCGTGCTGGCCATATTTTCCATTCGCGTCCCTCTGGACTGTGGGTACAGTCCTATTTGTTCACACTGGAGTTACATCGTCGCTCATAGGCACCTCTCGACCTATGGGTCCTCTTGGAAATCTCCTGAATTTCTATGCCGTATCAATCATTGACCACATTCATTTTCTTGAAAAGAATGGCAGTTTGAAATGTGTCACCTATGAGCAACAATATAACGATACATGGGACTGCACAAAAGCAGTTGGACGGACCACACTGCTCCCATTAAATACAATGAGAGAGGAGCAACCTCGGAATATTCATGTTCGGGGGGTGGTGGGCAGACGATTGAATTAAATCGAGAAACTATTAAACAGAATATGTCCATTATGTGGTTAGTCGGTAGGAGAAGCAGTACTTTGCTCAATTGCATCGCATCTTCCTTTTGTCGATGGATAATATCTATTCGTCTGTTGTGTACAATGTTTGAGACGTCTCGGGTCTCATTGCATTCGGAGGAATTCAGCGCTCAGCCTCAAATTTAGCCGAGCGGAGTTTCAAAATATTGGCACCATTGACCCAACCTAGTCGATATGTCATACATATTGTATGGGCCACGGCTGCCCTTGGGGTACTAAAAGCTGTCCGAACTTTTGGGTGTCTTTCTATTCTGTGTTTGAAGCTTACACAAGAGATTATCGACGAAAGTTCAGTCATCCGTCTCAGCATAATCGCTTTGGTTGACCTTTCAAGCCAACAATGGTGTATCGATCCATTGTTCCCAATGTCCGTCCACCGGAGTAAACCACAACTGATCCTCTATTTAAACTGGTCCTATTTTCTCTATACCTTCAATCGACACTCTCCATACCATATCCTCGTACCTGCAACACATTATCGTTATACCCAACTTTGTACGCTCCTTGACTCGGAGCGTTTTTGCAACACCTATCCCTCAATTGCGACACTTATCCATCCATTGTGATACTCAGTCCCCCAAACTCGCACTCATCACCCTCCATCTAGCACTTTGCACCCTTCAACTCGCGCTCACTACAAATCTAATCCTGCTAGGATGGATTCACTTGACACGATTCTGGATATATCTGAGCTCTTCGACCCTGATTCACTGCTATTCCCAGATGAGGGTTATGGCAGTGGTGATGAGTCTAGTCAATCCAGCGATGACGAACAATGCTACACATTAGTTGACACAGACACAAAATTTAGTTATGCAGGTTATTGCGTAATAACATAACGCGATGCCACCTTCGCGAAGTATGCATCCATCGTATAAGTAAGTCGACGATCATTATTGTCTGATCACTGATTCACCTTCTCTCCATAGACATTATCTAGCTTACGATGCTGAAGCATGTCAAGCTAAGGCTGGCCATACAGGCCAGCCAGCTTGACCTTCGCGCGGTGCGGGTGAAATTCCCGTACACCGAACGGACCGACTGGGGCTGACTACGTCAGTTGCTTGAAGTCCCCTGAAGCCATCACAATTCACAAAAAAGATCAAAAAAATTGTGTCAATTTTTTTTTCATCTGGTGGACTTCTTGTTCCACAAACCTTCGAGCCTGTGGTACTTTCGGTTTCATTTTGGCCACAGTTGTCTTTTCCCACTTGTGGGTTTTTTTGGTCTCGCACTATACCGTACTACGGTGTATATCGAAGATGCAGCAATGTATTTCCTTGTGGCTGTAGGATCAGCATTCACCATGCCAGTATACTCCCGTTTGGAACGAGCAAGGATCGCAGTCCTTACAATCGGCACTCCCAGGGGTTGGCAGTTGCGCATTTTTCGCAGGGCAAAACGTGATGTCGGACGGTGACTCATTGCTACGAAGTTCTCACGTTTTCCTCCTAGAAATGTGTGACCTGCCGACTTGTGGGAGTGTCTTTTGACAGTTTATGGGTAACGACAAAGGGGTGGTACGAGGAGGTCTATTAGTAATGGATAATAGAGGCTCTGTTTCCACTCAAAATCTCTAAGCTCGCTTGCAAGCTCCGGCGCTCCCAATAAGCTTTCTGGGAGATCGAAGCCTTAGCTTGAACCACACAATTCGGCAATTTGCATTAAGTTGTTTCCGTTCCGACTCCCGACGTAGTCAGTTAGTGATTATATAATCCCATATTGTCCTCCACCCACCGCTCACGCGCTCGCGGCGCACCACCGCGACCGTACCAAGCTTCTGTCTTGCGCTGGCAACAGACAACGACAGACTCAAATCCGTATATCTCGCGGCTCGGACGTTCTATTTCTTTGAGCGTGATCAAGTTTATACGCCCAACTTTAGTCACGAAGCTATGGACCACTATCCGGAGGTCAAGCGACCATTTCTTGACACAAGAGCTTTATCTTCCCCGCTTGATCACGAGTCAGAGAGTGAGTCCAGCGAGGTTTCCGGCTCAGATACACCCTCTCCATCGGTCAGACCTTCTGCCAGATCCCCTTTGTCCACTCCTCTGCACGAGGAGAATGGGAGCTCGGAAAGGACCTCAGGTGTTGAACCCGAGAGTAGTAAGGGGTGGTATGAATTTGACCTGTCGGTCATACTTGCGTTGGTTTCGCCCATCGGAAACTGGCTGACAGGAGGAGATCACGTCAAGAATATCCTTCTCATTCTTCTCTTGATATTCTATTTGCACCAAATTATCGAGGGTAAGTGCTTTGTTTTCATTCTGAAACAGAAGACATAAATCTACACAGTACCGTGGAGTCTCTATCATCTCTCAAGACCCAAACGTCGTTCCCCTGATGTACTATCCCGTCAAACGTCTGATCAGAATCCCTATCATGAAATTGCTTCGTCAGAGTTACGCAAACTCGAAATTTTCTATCTGTTCCTCACTATCTTATCGCCGTTGCTCGGAGTTGCAATCCTTCGTGTCGTCGTCCTATCTGTGGCTGGTCCGGAGACTATATCATGGTTCAGTACCTCCCTCTTTATCCTCGCCACCGGTATGCGACCTTGGAAACACGCGGTAGAGCGACTCCGTCAACGCACAAAAGATTTGCATACTGTTATTCATTACCCCCCGGCCAGCTCACCAGATACGCAATCGCAAATCGAAGCTCTGACTGCGCGCGTCGCCGAATTAGAGACTCAACTAAAAGAATGCAACGACACTGTGAAAGCCCTCACCGAAGACGTTTTCGATCATGTGGAAGGAGCTGTCGAAGGGTTAGAGAAATCCATGCGGAAGCAGGAGAGGAAGAATGATGTTTTCTACTCGGCGCAAGAATCGAGACTTGCAGCGTTGGAACAGAACATGGAAGCGTTGCTGGAAAGGAGAGAAATTTCAGTGCACGGTTCGACTCTATTCCATAATCTTGCTTCTGCATTCCATGCAACTTTGGCTGAACCACTCGCACTCGTCTTTCCAGAGTGGGCACGCAGCTCTCGCCGAGATAAACACCCACCATCTCCTCGCTCTTCCCCAAAAATCGGTCGTTCTCGTACTCCCACCAAGCTTGAGACAATACCAGAAGGCGCCACTTTTACACCTAAGAGGGCTCGATACCGCTTTCCCTCCCTCCGTATTCCGGGTTTAAAATTCGTTTTGCGCGTCGGCGATCTTGCAACCTTACCCGTCCGCCGGGTAGTGGCTTATCTTCTCATGGGCCGCATCTATGCGCCCAATGCGCCCACTTCCTCTCATTGAACTGTGTTAAGGTTTATTTCTTATAATCACTGTTCTATTAGCATTGCATGGACATGTTTCTCACGTCTCCTCGTATTTTATCCACGCATCGAGATTCCGACGATCCGTTTTTCCTCACGATTATCATGGTATTCACGAATAACCGTACTGTACGCTTGCGCGTCGAATTTTGTATTAATATCCAATTGTAAGCAGACTTTTGTTGTGCCTCCCGTGAAACTTGGGCTGCTCTATAATTTACCACAGGTTTCCCAGCCGGCATTCATCTTCCCGTTCTTCTATGTAGACAGCTTCCCTCGTGCAAAAATCACACAGTTGTCTAAGCTTAAAGCTTTAGAACATTCCTTTTTGGGGCATTTGCTTGACGCTTACTGATTGTAGTCATCCCCTGTCATGTGGGTGGTCTCTTGGTCAAGCATGCCATGGTATGTGTCCTTGTTCTTTCTTCGGCCAAGAGCTTATCAGATCTGGAAAAGGTGAAGTATACAGATTTTGTGCTATCATATCCTTGTACTTCGTTTGCACATTGCTTTCAAAGGCACAGCTCGTCGATTAAAACAAATGCAGCAGGTCTTCACTGAAGCTTGTATGCCCTTCTTGTCTCCCCAGACTTTCTTTCGTCATTGAAATGCAAACAGAGATACCGGTACTTTCGTTCATTTCCGCGGTACTGGTTCTCTTTCCATTGCCTTGGTATTGTCGGGCTGGCAACATTGCTGCAATGTCTATTGGAATTTGGCTCTTTGTTGTGAACATGATTAATGCTATAGATGCCCTCCGGTGGACTGGGGCCTACCAAATACCATCCTTATTCTGGTGTGACATCAGTAAGTGTTTTGACATCAATTCTAGACGACAACTCAATTTCCTGTAGCTTCGGCACTGATAACAGCCGTAAATGTAGCGATACCCGCGGCATGTCTCTGTATTTGCATTCACCTGGAACGGATGGCGTCTTTCTGTCAAACGTCCACCTCTATAACAAAGCGACGCCGCATCTTACTTGAATGTCTGATATGTTTCGGAGTTCCATTAGTATATGCAGCACTGCGTGCGTATCTGCTACGAGCTCCCCCACGATGTTTATTGATATCGTCAATAGATTTAATTGTTCAACCTCGACGCTTTGATGTGTATGAAAATTTTGGATGTCGCTCGGCGACATATCCCACTGTTGTGGCTTTGTTCGTGGTCTGGATACCGCCGCTTGTACTTTCTCTTCTTACTATATTTTTCTGTGGTAAATCACTTCATTATTGTATGTATCCCTATGAGGCTGAGTCCTTTGCAGGAATTACTTGGCGCCACTTTCTCCTTCATGGCGTCCATTTTTCGAGGACACGTGCATCTTCCTCGCTTACTTCTGGAGCCTACATTCGGCTCGTCAGTATGGCTGTTTCAGAAGTCATCTGCACTATTGCCGCAACTGTAGTGGCCATGGCATTTAATCTAACCTTAGGGCTGGCTCCTTGGGCAGACTTCACCCGAGATTTGACGGAGGTCTTGTCATTCAGCTCCGCTGCGACACCCAAATCAATCACTGCGATGCTCATTACTGAATGGGCAATCATGGTCGCGCAATCATTCTTCTTCATCGGATTGTTTGTCCTTGGAGAGGAGGGGCGCAGTCGATCACATGAGGCTCTACAGGTGATGCGCAGGGCTCTCAGTTTCTGTGGGAGACGTTCGACCTGTATCGCCGAGCTCAAGGGTACATCTATGACAGAATGGTATGTTCCTTTGTGTCACTAGCAGATTTCTTCTGAAAACATCTCATCAGCGACTTGACACCAGTTCCGTCTCTGACCGTCCTCGAGTTCAAGAGTGCCACCTCTCAATCTAGTATGGAACGCACTTACCATGGTTATTCATCCGGGAAATCTCTTCCGCCTTCACCTGCCCCCTCGCGGCCCCCATTACTTGACCTTACAGGCGCGAAGCAATTGGAAGAAAGTCATGAATTTCTTGATCCTGCACTCCTCCCTCTAGAGTCGCCTTCCAGCTACTCTACTATCGCATCTTCACATAATTCTCTCCAATCAAATTTCGACCCGCAACAACTTGTTATATATTCAACACAGTGGCCTAAACCCCCATCAACAGTCATTGTTCGACCACGCTCGGTGAGGTCCCCTAGCATGAACTTTCTCCACACCGAAGGTTCGCCATTTTATGGGTCCGCAGTGCCACACAATTACTCGAGGAATTCAAAGAATCGTAACACTATCTACATGACGGTGGTTAGGGAGGTCCAAGGAACATATTAGCTGTCGGTTTTCTTTTCTCATACATCCCTTCTATTGTCCTTCGCGGTCATTGACTTTGTGTCGGACAGTATTATATGTAATATGTAGCTGACTTTTTGCTTGCATATTCCCGAGTCCTGGAGCATTTGTCGTTCTTCAAATATCTGTATGACTTTCTTTGTTGTGGTAATGTACTTCAGGTCCACTAGGAGTCTGTATCGATAGCCAACGTGTATTACATTTTTTTCTAGAATGTTAAAGCGTCTTAGCTAGTGGCCGCTTTCTTTGCTTGTACATCCCTTCTAAATATTGTCCTTCGAGGTCATTGACCCTATGGGTATACCAGACGGAGTTGTCGCTGACTTTTCGCATGATGAAGTATTTGTCATCCCTTTCCCTGCTTTCAATCGTATGGATTCTTTTTTGTGTCGATGTATTTTGGGCCCCGCTAACCTGAACTTGAGGGCCTGTTTTATGATGACCAACGGGTCACTACTTATTACAGTCTTGTCGTCGAAATGTTAAAGATTTTGAATCAAGCAATTTTCAAGCAACGCCAGGATGCCGGTCAACCGTCATAATAAACTACCTTCATTCGTCCACGTAGCATGAACTTGTCCATAAGGGAGGACTTACTAAGTGATACTGATGGGAAATGTGGAAAACATACTGAAAAGGGCAATTCTCTGAATTGCTCGATTACGGCAACTGCCACTCTTATTGTCCGTCGCTTTTGGAATATCGCTATTGTCTCAGAGACTCTCATATAACCGTTGGTTCATAAGAGCCATCGGCCAAGAATTTTTCTTGCTTGCGAACCCACACCATTCATGCAGCAACGCGCTGTCAGTCCTTGAAGCTGCGGGCTTGATATTCTGGTCATCGTCGTTTATACTACTGAGGCTCGAGGCGCCACTCCTTGGTAACGCTTTGTATTTTGCATTTCAGATGCAGACTGGCAAAGTATCCGCAGCAGAAGCGGCCCGCAAAGTTCAAGTCACCAGTTATTTTCGAGCCAAACAGAGAACAATCGGAGTGTTGCAAAATGCTAGGTGCGGTATTCGCCAACAATCATTTGATTATCATTGACCGGTCCTTCCAGGGATTTCAGATTTCGTTCTTCACAGTTTACACAACACAGTACTATAGTGGGCCACGACAATCATGACCTTGCCTTCTTCTACTGTGGGTAATGTCCATTCTGGGACTCCTGACTGTCTTATCACTTAATTTCTGCAAGCAGCTCTCACCGGAACTTTCTGATATCTCATGATCATGGGATGTCGGAACAAGTGCCGAACTCTGTCAACGAAGCTCTTCGGTGCGCCATTTGGGCGACTTTGGGCGCACTCTTCATTCGCTTTACCTTTTTGGTAAACAAACATACTTCCATATATGGACATTAGTTTGTTGGTCAAAAAGGCAATGCCGATATCTGAGCAAAGTGTTCAATGTTCGAAAACGTTTTACCGCACCCGAACACAAGGGGATGTCCAAATCGGATGACAAGGTGGACTGCTCTCGAAGGCTTTAATAGCATGACTCCGCAATGCTGTGAATCGTAGCTTCACCCCGTGGACTTGACTCCGTCTACGTTTCCTCCGCTCAGCTGCATCACATCGCAGGATAGCTAGTCTTCAGAGCCAGTCACCCCTGTCTTCACCTCGCACATCAGCAACTGCGTTGTTAAGATGTTCAACTCACCAGATTGGGTGTTCACTATGTTTGCTTTCCTGGGATTCTTGTGTTGCATGATTCCGCTTCCCTGGCATTTGGAGGGTCAGTTCTTTTACAGCATTTTTAAGGTGCCCGAGATCTGACCAATACTGTAGCTTGGAATACTGGAACCTGTCTTTACATGATCTGGACTGGCCTATCGTGTTTAATCCAGTTCATTAACTCGATTGTTTGGAGGTCAAATGTGATCAACTGGGCTCCTGTGTGGTGTGATATCAGTAAGAACTTTCTCCATGTCCTCGCCGCGAAAAGCTCATGTTTATTTCGTAGCTACCAAATTCATGATCGGGGCTAACGTGGCTATTCCTGCTTGTTCGCTTTGCATCAACCGTCGTCTCTACCACATCGCCTCTGTTTCATCTGTAACGAAGACAAGAGCTCAGAAGAGACGCGACATCATGACCGATCTGGCCATTGGCATGGGTATCCCCGTCCTGGAGATGATTCTGCGTATGTTCGTTTGGCGAAAGGTGTCGGACTGTGATTGACATGATACCCCAGAGTATATCGTACAAGGACATCGGTTCAACATTTTTGAGGAAGTTGGCTGCTATCCAGCCACTTTTAACACCCCTCCTGCCTATGTATTGGTATTTGCGTGGCCCATGATCCTCGGGTGTATCTCTGCTTACTATTGTGGTACGTTCGTTCTGATAATTGGTCAGCCCGATATTAATCATTTTGTGATTCAGTCCGCACTATTGTCGAACTAGCCCAGCGCAGGGCGCAGTTCATGGAGTTCCTTTCTGTGAACAAGAACCTGAGTTCCAGCCGTTACTTCCGCCTGATGGGTCTCGCTGGCATTGAAATACTATGCACGATTCCTCTGGGTGCATATGTCATCTACCTCAATGTTACCGCCCAACCAGTTTTCCCTTGGATCAGTTGGGAGGACACGCATTCCAACTTCTCTCGTATCGAACAAATTCCATCAGTATTATGGCGCATGAGCGGTCCTACTGTGTTGTCGATCGAGCTCAGCCGATGGCTCCTCGTTGTCTGTGCATTGGTCTTCTTTGCTTTCTTCGGGTTCGCCGATGAGGCCAGGAAGAACTACCGCCTTGCCTATGTTTCGGTTGCAAAGCGCGTGGGTCTTTCGACCGCTGGTACTATGTCAACTGGAGGGTCTTGGACAACTGGGTATGTTGTCACACCTCGACACCCAATGATGCGATTTGACGAGCTTTTTTTTTCAGTTCGAAATCAGAGATGGCATGCAACAGCCGCGCTGCCACTATGCCTGTGTTCGTCACTAAACGCACCGAACAGAAGCGCGACTCTCTCACTTCGTTCTCCACCGACATCTCCATTGGGGAGTTCAACATCGGATTCAATGATACCAAGGAGATTTCGTACTCGCCAACAGAAACTGCTATGGGTTCGATGTCAAAGGAGTCGCTCCCTTGCACGCCCGTTGATGAACAGACAATTCCCCTACCAGATACACCTGCTCTTGCAAGACCTGACTCCGTGCTTGATGTCAATTCGGTTCCCCGGTATATCGTCGATTCGCCTGAATCGCTGCGCAATTCAGTCGATATTGTCTGATCTATATCCACAAAAAACAGCTTTTTTTTGCTTTCTTCTTCCATTCCTTACGCGGTTACTTTACTGTATTGTTAGCTCTGTCACTCCCTGGAATGTAACCACTCCGTTATCATCTGTTTGGATACCCATTACTCTCAACTACCTTTATCCCTATTTGTATGACATTTAGACAATGTAGCAATCTTTGTAGGTCGGCGGAATAGAACATTTTCAAACGAGATGGAATACGTTGGGATTTGATATCAGTGATTCAAACAATCGCCGATACATTGCAAACATAGGCTGAAGATATGGTTTGATGTGTATGCTAACTAGGCTAGATATGTTATGCAGTGCTGGATAACGGTTCTTCGTGCACAGTATGAGTCTCGGCACGATGATCGATCGTTCAATTCTCTTCATAATCATCTAAGAAATCCAGAAGTCTGCTATCTCACATTCCGACAATTGGGCTCAAGTCATACAGATTGCCTTTCTGACTTGTAGGCTGCAAAGCAAGAGTGTCCCAGTGGCTACCCCAAATTAAATGGCAGGGCAAGACGGCGTCCGGCGGGCGATACTTCATATAGGTCCACTAAATCCGTGAAGAACGGAACTCAAGAATCCTCACCGTTCATCAACCAGTTTCCCGGATGACTAACAACTCAAAAGGTTATAGGTTTTCGAAGCCCGACGGGTGTGAGCTGTCAAACGAAAGAGGCGCCTGACAGAGCAACAGAGTCACGGTGGTCTAGACTTGAGGGTCTTGAGGGTGCTGGGACCTTCATCCCAGAAGGCACTGAACTTCCGAATGCTTCGATCCAGTTCACCCTAGTTCATCCGATGATGAATCCTTCTTCGTGTGCCGATTTGGATGGGGCTTATTAGCGATATTGACCTCTGATGACAGTGCGGTCTACATGCGATCAGGCCCAACTTGTGTGATCCTCGACTGGGCTCACGAGTTCTAATAATGGCGTCGCAGGGATATGTGAGAAGGTGCCAGAAAGTACGCCGTCATGCTCAGTGTTACATGCTGGAATGGAAGTGAGAACGAGTGTTTACCTTTGTTTTACACAAAATCTCAAAACTCACGACTGCCAGCGTAGACTCTGAGACACCGCTAGACCGCGGAAACTTTATGATCAGCAGCTGCCAGATGCCTACCCTGGCTGTGTCGAGGCTATGTAGCTTGCGCTTGCTCCAAGTACCTCTGTTTTCTCCCTTGCTCTCAGTAACAGTATGGCTGCAGCTAAGACCTGCTTACTTCTCTGTGCCACGGGAGCGCAGTATTATGCCCTGACCCCCCCAAATGCCAGACCTTCCGCAAAGGAAGTTTTGAATCCCACTGGTTTGGAAGTTGTCACCCCTTGGATACATATTTTAGTGAAGGTACTTTCTTGGGCCAATTCCAGTAGCACAATGTTACTGAATACTTGCCCTTCTGATTAAGAGCATCGTCGGCGTCTGCGTTTTGTCAGATATTATTCTTGCATACGCAGCGGGAAAGGAATCGACTCCCATCTCGAAATCGCTCACGACTCTTCTAGTCCGCAGTGACTCCTGTTCGCTATCAAGCTTGGACTATACCATGTCATCACCCGCACTCATAGTCGGGTCTTGCCTGAGCGTCATCGGCAGTGCCATCCGTATCCACTGCTATTCCACTCTAGGCAGATTCTTCACTTTCGAACTCAGTATCCGCCAGGATCACAAGCTAGTCACATCTGGCCCTTATTCCATCGTTCGACACCCCAGCTATGCCGGTGGATTATGTGTTTTTCTAGGCATCTTGTTCTGTCATTTCCATACCCAATCATGGTTGGTTTCTTGTTCGGGTGTATTTCCTTCATCAGGGGCCAAGTTGACTTTGGGATGCATTTGGGTGGGTTTGTTTAGTATTCTTTATTCTGGACTTTGGGGGCGGATCGAGAAGGAGGAGGCGATGTTGCAGGGAAACTTCGGAGACCAATGGAAAAGTTATGTGAAAAGGGTGCCTTACAAACTGGTTCCATGGTTATTCTAGATTATCGCCATTTATTTAAAGACGCTATCAAAGCATTAAAATACTGCAAGGGTAACTTCTTGATCACTGGGTTACAGGGGAGCGATTAAAGGAGAAAGTTATTTAACCGAACACTCCAGGAGGCAAGAAATGATCGTCAGGGGCACGGGATACATACGTAGTTATCATAATAAGAGCCGAGAAAACAAGGGAATATTAAGCTAAAAAGGGATGATATACATAATCGGAAGTTAGGATCAAGCTCACATTAACCTGTCGGCTTTGCCTTCATCAGATGGAGCTGCAATCCCCCTCCACACACTGATTCAGACGTTCCCTCAGCTCGACAATTGTTTTATCTCGCGAATCCTGCCCATAGTCAAATGCAGCGATCTGCAAGCAAAATTCCCTCAACTTCGGACTAGCACTGCACCTCGACTCCACAAGCTCCGTCACCCTGTCGGTGGAAACACGCTTTGAGCATTTGAGACTCAATGATTCGAGTCGAGGACAAATGGAGGTGCCTTGAGGTGCTTCGGACAAAACGAGGCTGTCCACGAGGTTGTGATTGAGTTGAAGGGGGCCAGGCAAGAAACGCAGGTGCTTTAAGCGATGAAGCTGGGAGAGACATGAGAGCATATCGACATCAGATATATTGATTGTGTCAAATGATAGGCTCTCGAGAGTCTCTGCGCTCCGGGAGATGAAGGGGAGGGGTTCCGTCTGGCTGGCGAACGAACCCATGGCAAGACTGACGTTCTGGAATTCAAACGTGTGCAGCTTTGGCGCGTGGAGCGCATCGAAGAACTGGTGGGTGTAGAGCGTTTGACAGAAGAGGCGTACTTTCATTGATTCGAGGTTGGGAAGTGTGACAGGTACAATCGTATCTGCATCAGTGTCAAGTATTGTCATTCCTATTCCAATGGAGCAATATTTGAGATTAGGACATTCACGAAGCGTAATGAGATAGTCGTTGTGAACGAGATTCCAGTAGGGGCTGGCGTCATACTGAAGAGACAACTGTGTTAGTTGGCTCCAAGGGATGCAGAACTGAGTGGTGTCGAGATTACCCCACGCAATCGAGAGGCTGCGGAGGCTGGGTGCATCATGAAGAAGTAATAAAGGTGGGTTGTCGTTACTAGGAAGGGGGTTGCTGTTATGAAGCTCAAGACGCCGTAGGTGCGGGAGTGGACTTTGGGTGAATGTCAACAAGGAGCTGAGTGCCAACGGAGAAAATCTCAAGCAAAGCTCTTCAATGCGGCATCCGAGAGTCAGGATCTCTTTGTCAAGTGACATAAGAGCACCCCACGTGATCGGAGAGTTGCTCGGGTGCTGAAGGATTAGGGAAATTGGAAGAGCTTTCGCGCGCGATATCCACACGTGCATGGACATGATCCTTGACTGCATAACGTTCTCCCAATTTGGCGTTGTGGATGGAAACCCAACCTTGAGGGTCTTCCACAAGTAAGGAAGAGAGAACATGAGGTCTCGCCAAGCGCCGCAAACTTGGCACAATAACAAGGGAGCCCGAAGAGGATCAGGCTCCTGACTTCCTTCGTCCTGGACGCATTGTTCGAAGACTTTTGTCATGATCTCGATTGGCATGCGGCGGACGGGGGACCTTAGTGCTTCCAATTTTTGGACCATTTCCATGGACCCAAAATATTTAGCCTCAAGGCGCGAAACCTCCGCGCGGGCGCGATCTAATTCCTCGCCAATAAACGAAAGCTCCACTTTTTGTTCTGCAAGGAGATGGCTAATACGCTGCGTATCCATTGGAGAGGGAACGCAGTTCGTTTGTAAAAGTCGTACGATAGATGTCTAGAGGGCATTGAGTCAAATTCATATATATATGCATATCCATGCCACATACTGGTATTTTTAGATCCATAAAGCAGAGAGAGAGGCCTCAACGGTATCTTTGGGCCGTTATTTGAGAGGGGTTTGCGCTATCGCAGGCACTGTTTGAAATCCCGGGAAAAAGAGAAAGAAAAGAGACGCGCGAAGTCCATGCGGCACTTTGCAATGCAGCTTTCTATCTACGCGCAATTCGCCTCCCCCTTTACGTGTTTTTTTCCCCTGGAATGGGACAAAGTCGAAGATCCCTTACAATTGGTTCCTTGTCGTATCCGAGCCAAAGGGATCAAATTTTGAATGAAAGCTAGCGCCCATGACACAAGCTTGCATTTAATACCATCATGTCGTTGACATATACGTGGGGTAAGCAGGAACGTCAGAGAAGTCAGGGACACTGTTTGTCTAGAATCAGTAGAATCATAGGGGCATTGATAGACAAGTACTGACACTTTGACAGACATCTACATGACGGGTCGACTCGTCAATTGCCATGAATTGTTGTGCAGGATTTGGTACTATTATTTTCGAAGCCTCTTGCCAAACAAGATGAATAACCCCACACTTGCTAGCCGGAAATCACTTACAATGTGCATAAAGAATCACTCCACGATTGCTGTGCGTCGCTTTACTTTCAGGTCCACTAACTAAGCTGTAGGTGGCGTTATCAAGGCTAAACCTGTTGCCAATCCATGTCACTGAACAATGTGCTCATTAGGCGCTATAAATAGGTTCAGCACACAACATTGTCACTGTCCACGCCTGTAAGTCAATGCATTCAACGCTGAACAGCCGATGACCACCATGCTTGAATCCACTAGTAAACAAGCGCAGTCGTGTAAGGCACGTTGTGGAGCATTTTATCAGTCAGCATCCACCAGGCGCAGTATTCACTTTTGACGCTGTTCACCACGCAACGACACTCCATGGCCGTTAACATCGATTTACTCTGGAAAAGTCTTTACTACGTCTGCTCATACCGTAGTATGAATCCTTTGCAGCTTTATACAACAACTATCTTCGCGATTACTACATCAAAACAAGGTTTACAGTAATGCGCATCTTCTGCTGGAGAACATACTCATAAGACTAACAGCATCAGTGCAGTCGAAGAGCACTTACAGCTAACATCATAGATCAAACCAAAGTGTACAGAGCGCTCTATCGGCTGAAGCGCTTCACCTTGTCGAGGACTGGGTAAGCGTGATCAGCAATCGTGACCAGGTAGTTAACATAGGTGAGACGGACCGGTTTCATATGCAACCTCCGTCAAATCCGTTCCCTGGATCTCCGCACCAATCCCGTCTAGCGACTTCCGCAGCGCATCCTTCGAGGATGCGTGGACCATCTTTGCCCGAATGGGTGCACTGTCCGGTGACCTGTAGTTGTGAGTTGAGCACATAAAGTAGTTAAACGGACGTCTGAAGGCAATAAATTATCAACCAGATGCACTACAAACTTACCAGGAGAAGAAGCAGAGCTTGTTCCTCGGGGACCCATCATCCGACGTATAGCTGAAGTCGTAGACAGCCCATTTGCAACCATCGGCAGGCAAGTTGGTAAGAAATTCTTCGTAATTAGGATTTCCCGAGGTCTTGTCGACGACGATCTCTGTCCGGGTATCGTTCAACTTGAACAATACGTACTTCAGCGATTTGGTCATCTTCAGTTGTGCGAATTTATCGAGGCATTCGGGAGCTGCTATCACTCCGGACGACTATCGAGAGCCTATCAGGATAAGCCTTAATATTTCGTGTGCTGCTCACCATGTTGAATAAGATAATGAGAGAGAGAGATGCAGTATGCTGGAAACAATCGCGATCAAGATAAGTGTGTGGATACTGAAACGGCAGTTGCCAGCTCCGATCCAACAATCACATCACGTGGCACTGCGCCTGCGGGCCGCAGGCTCGCAGCAGAAGTACCTCGAAAATCACTTGGCCAGGGGGGACACGCAAGTTGGAAGAGTGCTTTCGGTGCAAATATATATCGACTGTCGAAGTTATCGCGTTCTGACCACTAATTGATACTCCACCATCATGAGTGCTATCGATACCATTTTATCAAGCCAAAACAGTACCACGTGTAGTAGAGATCAGCTCATGCCCAGGATATGCCGATTGACCTGTCCTCCCTTTCAAAGGCCTGATGTACCAAAACCATGTGGGTCCGTTGACAGTGGCAATCCAGTGAATGTAATCTTATTATGGCTGGCACAGGCCATGTGCTGCAGATAAGTTAGGCTATGAAAAGACTTTGAAAACTAAGTTTATGAAATTCCTCCCTGACCTTTAACCTTCTCGTCTTCTAGGCCTACCTGACTATCATGACTGACCCATCATCATCATCGCCATCATCTGGATCGCAGCCACAGTCAAGGTGGCAATCACTGCACTATTTGGCGGTGTTAGTTTTGAAGGCTCTTGTCAAACATGGCCAAATTATCGCGACCACGCTTCTCCGCCTTGTGTGGCACAGGACGTACGCGTCACGCATATTCACCGCAACACTCAATTCTCATATATCACAAGGACATTAAACTTGGGCCACGTTGCTTGCAGTGAGGAAACCATGCCATCATCCACATCAGTGCCAGTAGAGCTACCCAAACCGCCGAAACTGGATCTGGATAAGTTCATTGCAACTGCCCTGTCAGCTACGCCAGTGGAACTCCATCCATTTTTTGAATCTTTCGGCAAACTCCACACGAGAAAGTAAGAGGGTGATTAATACAGTATACTCACTACTCACTGATCACACAGACTATGGCACCAGCTGACACTCAAGTTATATGAGTTTTTTGATCACCCGTTGTCGCGGCCCTTCCGTGTAAACGTGTTTGAGCAATTCGTGCGCGACTTTGAGTCCAAATTGAACCAACTCAAACTCGTGGAGATGGGGACTAAAGTATCGAAAGAGATCGACAGTAGGTTTGACCCCCAATTCCTGAATGAATCCAACCTGACGTCCCATCAAGACCCGCAAAGTCAGCTTCTGTTCCTCAACTCCATACTTTCACGGATCGATGCCGAAAAATCACAGGAGGCATACGTGCTGCTGCTTGCAAATATTGCATATGCCAAGCTGGTGTACGGTGATTTAGAGGGTACCAAGACGGATATGGATACTGCCTGGAAAACACTCGATCGGCTGGAAGGAGTTGACACTGCTGTCAATGCGTCGTATTATAAAGTTGCCGCTGACTACTATAAGGCGAGAATTTTCGAGAATACTACAGTTCACCTCGTTGACTTTCCGAATACAGGCTAAAGCAGAATATGCGCCATATTATAAGCATTCGCTGCTGTATCTGGCGTGTGTCGATGTAGCAACAGACCTTACTTCAGAAGAACGTTTACTGCGCGCACACGACCTTGGCATTTCGGCATTCCTCGGCGACACTATCTATAATTTTGGGGAGCTGGTAAGCAGATACGTGAATTTGAAACACCCACTTTCGTTGGTCACAGCCTGAGGACGATCGTTGACTGACTTCATCGGTGTTAGTTGATGCACCCAATACTCGATGCGCTGGACAACACGCAGTATGATTGGATCAAGAAGTTGTTATTCACATTCAACGAAGGCAACATTGGCAAATTCGAAGCACTGGCACCACTGTTTCCGCAGGAGGTACGTGCGTGTTGTTGCGGAGACCCGCGCCGACTCGAGCCGACAATCTGACAAATGAGCTCTGCCACAGCCGATTCTGGAAGAGAACTACCCCTTCCTTCGACAGAAGATTTGTTTGATGGCGCTGATCGAATCAGTGTTCAAACGGAACGCGAATGACCGAACGATGTCTTTCCAGACTATCGCCGAGGAGACGCGACTTCCAGTAGACGAAGTGGAACACCTCATCATGAAGGCACTAAGGTCAGTGGATTCTTCGTTGAATTGAAACATGGGCGCTGCATGTGCTGATAATCTAATTGTCATCGGTACTTGCCGTTAGCCTCAAGTTGATTCGAGGTTCCTTGGACCAGGTGGATCAAAAAGCGCGCATCACGTGGGTTCAGCCTCGTGTTCTGTCGCGCGCACAAATAGGCGAGCTGGCGACGCGGCTTGGAGCGTGGATAGATAAGTTGGGGAGCGTGGAGCAGAGGATGGCTCCACATGTGTCTGCGGCGGCATGAGTACGTTCACAGTGCTGTAGAGTAGAGTCGAGCGCCAAGGGGACCGTCCTGGAGCAAGAATGATCGATGTGACATGCTGCATTTCATTGTACGAATTTTTAGAAGGAACACGTTTGCGGTTCCGGATCAGATACGAAGGTTGTAACGGTGGTTTGCGAGCACGTTGAGGCACGATGCAGATTCTTAATGACATAGAGGGACTGATGATTTGGATATGCAATTGATATGAGTATGTTTGAACCGTAGGGAAGGAGGGTTTAAGCCGTAGTAGGGGAAGAGGCACTGCTATCGAATGCAGGCTTCCTCATTTAGGGTGTGAAGTACTAACAGCATGCTGTCCAGCAACAACCTAAACTAGTTTCAAAGAATCTGTTAGTCAAATCTGGTACTTCATCCTCTCCGAGTTTCTTCTGTCCTCATTGCAATCCACGACTCAACGATTCGAACTATCTGAGCAGGCTGTACGGTACAGTGACAACGCCTGTCCATCAACGTGTCCGGTGATACCCTCACGCGAGGTCTGCCTCCTGCAATTCATATCCGATTCTACTTCTCCCGGCTTTCATTATAACACTTCAAAAGATTATCATTTTCATCCAAAGTCTTGTCTCTGTCGAACATCTGCAATGTCAGAATCAGCAGACCTGACTTGTAAACCTCCAACTGCTGTCACTTTTTCTTTTACAGCCCCCTTTCCTGCAGTACCGTCCTCCATTTCCTCAGCATCGTCAACCTCTTCTGCGCTAAAGCAAAGGCGCGTGTCGCTTGCGCTTCCGTCTTCCCCCAGGCTTGTCCCAGCGTGGAATTTTCGTGACGACACCGGCCTCACTTCGCATGTTGCTGAAACTTCTGCACCAATGCCGGAACGTAAGGGAAAGATGCGCAAGATCGCTGGTGATGGCGACTACCGTGAATCAGTTGGCGCTTTTATAATCCAGCAGAAGAAACCACGCAAGAAATGGTCCGAGGAAGAGACTCAAATGCTCGTCGAAGGTTGCAACACGGTACATATGACTTTCAAATAATGTCTCACAATATTAATCTTGTTCCCTCAGTGGGGCGTCGGCAATTGGAAGGCTATATTGAAAGATCCGAAGCTGACTTTTGACAACCGCTCGCCTGTTGACCTCAAGGACCGGTTGGTACTCCTTAATTTCCGTCTGTTCATATTTATACCTGACTTCTAGGTTTCGCACATATTTTCCTGACGCGTACAAGGAACACTACCCCAATGCGAAGACGCATCTCTCTAGTAAAATTCGGTCAACTCTCCCAGATGGACGTTCCATCTTTGAGAAAACGCGTAGTAAGAAGCGTCGTCCGTTTACTGAGGAAGAGGACCGCGCTCTCAAGGCTGGCTATGAGAAGCATGGTACCGTGTGGGCAACAATAGTCAAAGACCCTGTTTTCCAGGAGCAGAATCGACGCTCGACTGACCTCCGTGACCGCTTCCGCAATGCGTTCCCTGAGCTGTATCAAGCAGCAGGCTATAAGCCACGGAACGCGCCCAAAAAGCGGAGAGAGTGTGTCCAGCCACTTCCCATTCGCTCGTCAACTGATGATCAGTTGACTGCGCACAGCAGCCACATAGGCCCTGCCCGCAAGAAGCGTGTGCAGTCGAGGCAGGGTATGTTCAGAGGTGGGACGAAGAGCGTCCCAGAGAGCGCAACATGCTCTGAAGATGATGATAGCTCAGGTGGTGAGGAGGAGGGTGGCACCAGGTTGTTCAGATGCCCACCGATTATGCACGACCCCTCGCAACCTGATGATACGTCTTCGCCAGACGGACTTGCAGTGATGGACATGGAGACGATAGACCCCTTGTCCGAGCCACTATCTATTCCTGACTTCATGCCTAGTGCATCGCAGTCTCTCTCAGAGCTCACGGATTCCTCTCAGTCGCAAACTTGGTCCAGTATAGATACACCTCTCAACTCCGCGACATGGTCCGCGACTACCGCTTCTCCGACATCATCACATATTTCTTCTGATTATCTGCTTGGTCACTCTCTCTTTGATCGTCGCTTGAACACCATCGGAAAGTCGGCTTGGGGTCCGCAGGACTGGTTTTCTGCCAACCCCCGACTCGATACGTCTACTTTTTCCAGTAGCGGGTCATCATTTGCCGACGGGTTATCTCCTGCACCATCATCTCCGTTTTCCTTTCATAACCTCAACCACGGCGTCGTCGATCGCTACGACTTGTTTCCGAGTTCCTTTCCAAACGACTTCACCTCTGATGTCGGCGTTGGGGACTCACATTCCACATTTTCGGACCATGAGATGTTCGCGTCGAGCAGTTTCAGGGGGTTCACACATCACTCCAACTATGCCGGTGACCTCATCTTCGGTGCACGGACACATCAACCCCAACAGTCATACTACGGTCCTGGATTCGGGTTTGGCACACCTGGCCTTGGGCTCTCAGGGATGCAGCAAGCCACCGGTCTACATCCTCTCCAGATCCACACCCCTGCACTGCCAGGTATTGACGAGATCGAGCTGGCGTCGATCACGCTCAATGACCAAGCGGAGATTTCGGGCGATGCCGCTCAGACCACTAGTGAGATTGGGGTGCAGAAAGATGATTCAGAGGCGTCTTTGAGCCTCTCTGCCCTAGAAATATATACCATGTCACAGCAGAACATGGATGATATCGTCGATTTGACGCATTCGACTCCCCCTGCAACACCCATCACCTCGACTC